AGCATTAATGTATTTAATCATATAGGTGAAAATAAGCTGGGGGTGGTTAATCTTCATGTGATCCTAAACTACCAATAATATGTGTGATGTTTGTAGTTACATGTTGAGCTCTGGGAAAATAATAATAAACTAGCTTACTATAGGAGCAGCCAGGGTGAAGGGTCAGCACAATGGTATATGATCTCTCTTAACTCTATAATTATTCTGCTATCACAAGTCACTACATAGCTGCTGATCTTCCAACTTTTATTATAACAATATTAAAAGCTGTACTCTAATGTTCATCACCATAACATTATCAAAAGGTTTTCCTTAATGTTTATTTTTCCCAGGATGATCTCAAATCATCATATTTCACCTTTTCCCAGGATGAGGAAGAGGGTTGTATGGTCTGGCTGCCACTCTGTGTACTATATCTGATGACAGCTTAATTTAACTAAAAACAGCTTGATGTACACCTCAACTAAAGACAGCATGATGTACACCTCAACTAAAGACAGCATGATGTACACCTCAACTAAAGACAGCTTGATGTACACCTCAACTAAAGACAGCTTGATGTACACCTCAACTAAAGACAGCTTGATGTACACCTTAACTAAAGACAGCTTGATGTACACCTCAACTAAACTAAAAACAGCCTAACAAATACTTCAAGATAAACAACGACAGTATGACACACATTTCAGGACTACTATAATAGTACTATGACACTTTGAAGATCACTATGACAGTATGACACACACTCCATGGCCAATTATGACAGTTTGACTGGACAAACAAACACTCAAGGAAAACTAACAATATGACACACACACACACTTCAGTAAGCGACTTAGGTGATGAAGGCACTTTCTACCTGTGACTTCAGCAAAATATTATTATGAGCCTGAACAAAACAACAATGGCACTAGTGGACGGTACTGTACGTGACGTTGAAAAAATATAAACAACACCGTCACGTTTCTCATTACGGGTAGAAGCAAGAGTGACAGAATGTAGGTGGTCTTTACTCCTCGATACGAGTAGCTGGGTTTGTGTTACTCATATTATTGTTTCTATTATGTCCTCAGTTACTCAAAGTTATTTTCTTGGTACAGAGGGGGGGGAGGTATATGTGAGCAAAATAGGAGTCAACCTCATGGATTGATTGAAGTGGTGGGTAGGTGGGTGAGTCAATGAGTGGGTGTAAGTGGGTGGGAAGGTGAGCGGGTGAGTGGGTATGTTTGTCCACACGAGCATCACTCTTGCTGTACATAAACACGGGAAAAGATAAGATACCTTATCTACTTAGCCATCTTGTTCATAAACCTCACTCACCAAAATAAATAAATAAATAAATAAATAAATAAATAAAATTCCTAAGCTTTCAAAATACAACACAGCTCTTCATTACTGGCAGTCCCATCATCCTGGTAGACGACAAAAGACTATAATACTATATATCCAAAGTTACATCATCACTATCATCCCCACCACCACCATAATCACCACCACTACCACCATCATCACCAGTCAGCAGTATATCATCATCATATTCAACACTTGCATCTGTAGGTTAGCTGACACTCAGAGATACATGGTGTGTGAGATAATAGAAACATAAGTGTGTAAAGTTCAGCAGTTTATACATGATCGTGTGATAACAATACAGTTGGTAGGTATAGGTACGCTACACATCATCACTGTGACCATTCTATCTAGTGTCTACAGTCTTACATATTAAAAAAAAAAAAATTGTTGGCTTAAAGGAACAGTAACTTATTTCCTCAACAACAACAACAAAAACTTACATAAAATAATATATATAATGAACTACTTGATAGCTTTGGCATGTAAGGTAAATATTGTCCTGAACTGGGTAGAGAAATAATGAAGTGGGGTTAGGTTAGATTGGATAAGGTTAGGTTAGATTGGGCTAGGTTAGGTTAAGTTTCCCGACTCAGCTACAGGTGGTGGAGGAAACTCTTACTCTACTGTTGCAGGAGGAAGGAACTGTACCAGCAATAAATGAAGATTGTTGTCATGTCACTGTATCTCAATTGGTCAACGGTCAGGGTCTTGTGGCACCGTTCACACAGTCTCTTTCCACACTGGACAACAACTTTCAGAAATCACAATAACATTTCCAGGGGAGCCAGCAAGTGAGAGCAGATGATTAGCCACAAACTTGATCACTCACCACACCTTGGAGAAACCAACGGCAATGAACAAACACAATTACTATACTGAAATATTTGTAATAAACAAATATAATTACACTTAAATAAGGAAATAAATCAAATGACCTTATAACTAAAAACATATTCAATAAACTTAAAGTTACAAAACATAATTATATAAGAAGCATCAGAGGGTTTACATGAAGGGGGGTGACCTCCTCCCGTGTGGCACTATGAGGCAACGAAATAAAAAAGAAAAACTTAAGGGCTATAAAAGAAATCAAGTACGCAGCTTTGGCATTGTGGTGGGATTGAGAGAAGGTGCTAGGCAAGATTCACACCACTAAACTCACCTACACATTGCTGTACTATTACATCAGCATTTCTCTGCATTACTCGTGCACTCAGCCTAACACTTCTTCTGTACTATACAATATTACTTGTGCACTCAGTCTAACACTCCTCTGTAGTATCCTAATACTCGTGCACTAGTCTAACACTCCTCTGTACTGTATTACACGTGCACTTGTCTCACACTTCTGTAAAATTATACTGTATTCATAAAAAAACTACATGGCAAAAAAGTAAAATGGCACACTTTATCAAGACCCATCAACACCCTAAATAATAAAAGTAATATAGACTGATGCGTCTGTCACCCAAAACTCTCCACTGATCTATTATATTCAACCAAAATAACCACAATATTTACTGCATTACTGCTGCTGCTGCTATTACTTCACCACACACAAAGAAAATACATGGGAATCATGTTTAATTCCCCTCATCATAGTAACAGCTCTTAAGCATCAAAACTTTACACAATGAAGCTCAAGTCCAACAACTAAGACTTATTTAATTCAATGCCAACTAGTCCAAGTTAATGGGTGTAAGGTGTAAGGTGTAAGACAGTTGGGTATACTGTACAGTACTTGGTGTGTGGATGACAGAGGCATCAGCTGGTGGCATGATCATTGGCACGGCACTCTTCATCATCATTATCATCATCATCATCATCATCATAAAGCAAAATCCAAGAGTCACTTTTAAACTTCATCAACATCTATGATATTTCTTGTAATTTCTGAGGTGTTCAGGTACTGTGCGTGGTCTACCATCTGCTACAGCTTCACCAGACACGCTTACAGACATCAACAGCTCACTATTCACTACACATTCCACACCAGAAGGAATATAACTTGGATAAACTATGTCACGTCAAGGTAATATATTATCACTTCAAGAGTAAGTCAATTTAGATGTGAACACCTGGTGGGTTGGTCAAGTGTGTTATGAATACCTGGTGGGTGGGTCAAGTGTGTTCAACATTATAAACTAGTTCTCCAGCTCAGCACAAAGACCAGAAACTGCAACTTTTAACCCAACCTCAACACTTTTCCTCACTACAGTACTTCTCTTCCTTTTATAAAACACCAACCAGATAATTAACTACTGGCAACTGACACCAAGGAAGATTACAATGATCAATAACCAAGAAGGAACAATGTGGTGTACTAACTGTATAAATCTACCACAAGTTACAGTATTTACTCTCCAAGAGTTTCTATAAGTGGCAGACCAGGGAGCAAGGAATTACAAGTGAAAAAATACAATTAAATGTATGTTTTAGAGGCCTGGCTGGGGTGTTCATAGCTGTGTCCAAGGCCTAGCTGGGGTGTTCATAGCTGTGTCCAAGGCCTAGCTGGGGTGTTCATAGCTGCCATTATTTTTCCTCTCATTGCATGTCTGGTCTGGAGTGCCTCATGTAATACACTGACAGATGTTATAAATCTCCAGATACCTCAAGAGATCATATCACAAGTTCAAAATGGACACCTTACTGTTTTTGTAACCTGTATTATGTACAGTATATGTAAAAAAAATATATGACATTTACAAAATTTCTTCAGGTTTTCAAATCAATGTTACACCAACTTTAAGCATGTTAAAAATATTCAGGCTTTTCAGTCGACACGATGATGACAATTTTCAGGATCACAGACGCACTATCAACGTCTTCTTCGGCACACACACAAACGTTCCCCTGACAGCAGAGTGTTGTGCCATTTCTCAACCCGTGACATGACCCTTTTTATATTCATATGGTACTGGCTAACACACAGGTCAGAAATTTATTGATAGTCACAAAGATATTCTCCTACAGTTTCATGCCAGGTTCTGGGTTGATGGGAGTCACCGGAGGAAAATGATGAGCCTTTGTATCAAGAAGATAACTTAAAGTTTTCTCAGCTCTCCAGCAATCACCATAGGTAGACTACAGATATTACAGGTAACTAACACATAATAAATGTTCATAACATAAATGTGAACTCAATAAACTGCAACATTACATGTGGAACATGTAAACAGAAATCAGGAGCAACTTTTAAAACATAAAGTAAAAAAAACAAGAATGTATCACGACTCAGTCAAGACTTTCTGTTATGATTCAAACATGACCTTATTGTGAATGAACCAAGAGCTTATCATGAATTCAACATGTTACACATAAAGCTATTATGTTTCTCTATCTTCCTATTGGCAAGAAAAGCTACAGTAAAATCTATCTATATTGTGATATGTTGAGTCTAATGAGACGCGTTTACCCAAGTCGGCAAAACTTCTCTTTGTCCTCATCATTGTGAGTGTGACCACAACTAACCCTTCCTGTGAATCTTAGATTAAATTTATATGAAAAAGAGACATAGAGATAAAAGTAATAGTTATGAAAGTACAACAGGTGTGTGACAAGGTTCATATTAGTTGTGTGTGTTGGACAGGTGTGTGACAAGGTTCATATTAGTTGTGTGTGTTGGACAGGTGTGTGACAAGGTTGTGTGTGTTGGACAGGTGTGTGACAAGGTTCATATTAGTTGTGTGTGTTGGACAGGTGTGTGACAAGGTTCATATTAGCTGTGTGTGTTGGACAGGTGTGTGACAAGGTTCATATTAGTTGTGTGTGTTGGACAGGTGTGTGACAAGGTTCAAATCACTTATGCATTCAACAGGTTTCAGTAATTACTTACAGCAGTCCCAGGTGACACTTAACACGGTAACTAAAGTAACAATATGTTAACAATTAACATTAAAATTTAAGTTACTTCAATTACCACTTAACAGATTACCTAATAAGACCCAAGATGATGAATAAGAAGAATGAATGTCAGTACTTATAGTGACTCCAGCACCAGTGAGCAGAACAACTATGGCATTTGTAGTTTGAAGTCATCAGGGAAGCTACACTGACCATAGGAGACAGTCAGTAGTGTATTGTGAGTGTGTTACAAGAGACAGTCAGTTGTGTGTGTAGCGAGTGTGTTACAAAAGACAGTCAGTAGTGTATTGTGAGTGTGTTACAAGAGACAGTCAGTTGTGTGTGTAGTGAGTGTGTTACAAAAGACAGTCAGTAGTGTATTGTGAGTGTGTTACAAGAGACAGTCAGTGGTGTGTGTAGTGAGTGTGTTACAAAAGACAGTCAGTAATGTATTGTGAGTGTGTTACAAGAGACAGTCAGAAGAGTATGTAGTGAGTGTGTGTTACAGGAGACAGTATGTAGTGAGTGTGTGTTACAGGAGACAGTATAGAGTATGTAGTGAGTACATTACAGGGAGTTACAGTTGTCAGGTACCACCAAGCTGACACAACAAGGCACTAGTGGACAACAACAGGTGATTGTGGTGGTTGTAGTGTTGTCTATGTTCTCACCCTTTATAACATTATTGTAACAACTACATCAATCTTCCTCAAACTGCCCCATTCAACATCAAACTACCCTATTAAATTGCCCCATTCAATATCAAACTACCTATTAAGCTGCCCCATTCAATATCAATTTACCTTATTAAATTGCCCCATTCAATATCAAACTACCCATTAAACTGCCCCATCCATTATCAAACTACCCCATTAGATCTACCCTTATTCCGACACTCTGGATGTTTTATCAAGTACTACTGGTTGCAGAGCGGGTCACAAACACAAACATGAAGGCAGCCATCCCATTGTCTACTTCCCTCCGGCCCAAATCTAATAGTATTGTCATCATTGTGTATTATGAGATTCACATTTGTACTAAGAGGCACAACTTATGAGATTCATTATCGGGCAGACACCGGGGAGTCGTAGAACAGAACGGACGAGGCGTGATATGGGAGACGTCACACCAAACTCGACCTAAACTTCCGACGTGTTTTACCCACTATTGTACGTGCTGCATCCTAGTTGATGTCCTTGGCCCTCGTCTTTTGTTGATGTTGTTGTTTGCGGTTCTGTGACGATGTATTTATGGTACACGAGCATACAACACTCACATAACCTGGCTGTCTGTTACTACCTCACCCACATCACCCAAATAATACAGCAGCAGACTCCCTCCCTGGTCATTTTATCTTCAAGACATAAGTTGTTGAGGAAACTGAGTTACTGAGTTTAGCCCAAATCTATATCGTGATACAAAGTGTTTATACACGAGAGATGATGACAAATATGATAATAGTGTCCAATAATTTAGGGATATTCTCATATTAAAGGAATATTACAAGAGCATAACACGGGTTCAAGTCATGGCTTGTAAACAAAGACTCCATCATGTGAGAAAATGCGGCAACTCTGTTAAGTGACCATTATGGTTATTAGTTAAGTTCTGCTCGACTGGACCACCAAACAATTGATGTAACTGAAACATTCTTAGGCTTGTGCATTACTGAACACATTACTTTTATCTAATCTACAGTGTGACAGAGGTGAGAGAAAGGAAGGAAGGTGTAAAGGATGAAGAAGTGACACAGACAAGAGAAAAAGACCAGTTAACTTAGGGTTAGTTAGCAAGGAACACTCACTTTATGATACTATAGTATTTTGATCACCCTGTTGAGAAGAAATGCTACGACATACTGCGACCTTCTGTTAAAGGTCACGAAGCACCATACTAGGAAACTGACAAGTCCAAGAGCTACAAGGCAAGTATATCACACGTATAAGTACGACGGGAGGACGGAGACGTCGAGTTTTGCTGACAAGTACGTGAGAATATAATAATAATAATAATAATATACAGCACACAAACTGTGACATTTTCCAACATCTGATAATAATAATAATGAACACAGCTGTTAATTCCACACTGTAAAATATTAATCACCTAACCCAAGTGATGAGAAGAAAATATAATTACTCTTACACATTCTCCTACTTACTGTATAGGGGAATGTTCTCCTATTTGTAACATAAAGGTACAGAGGAATATCAAGTAAATATTAGATAAAATGTTTACGTGTCAGTCAGAGCTCAGTAATGGGCCCGACGATGGTGACCCCGGGGATATGTCTGGGGTCTCGCTCACTCACTCCCTGTTGTCGGTGGTGGTGCGGGGAGGCGTTGGGCGTGTGGCCGGAGGACGTAGAGAGGCTCGAGTGATTTGAATGAATGGGGATTGACTGGGATGGGTTGGCAGGCGTTGTGGTGGAGTGGATGAGGTTGCCATGACCACCATGGTTGATGCTGAGGGTTGACAGAGGGCTGGGAGAGTGATGCAACACGTAACTGGAATGTAAGTTTGTTGCGGAATGATTTGAGGTATTGGGCAGCTCTCCTCTCCTCCACGACGAGGCCGATGCCGTCTCCACTGATTCTAAAGAGGACAGACTATCCTTGGGTTCCCCCTCCGAGGAGGTGGAGACGGCAGGGTTACGTTGCCCCGAGTTAAGAGAAACTTCACCAGGAGGACCATGGAGGGTGAGGTCGACCAGGGTCAGTTTGGTCCCCTCTTGCCTCACCCCGGGCTCCACCACGCTCAACCCATTCACTTTCTTGCGTAGAACATTCACGAGTCGTTCCAGGCGCGTACACTGGTCGTGCAGCTGCCACCGTGAGGCTTCACTCTCTCGCAGCTGTGTACAGAGGCCCTCCATGTACTCAGCTGAGATGCGAGTGACGCCTGGAACCACAAAAAAAAATTATATTAAGAAATAAAAAGAACGCTAAAAGCACTCTTACGTTAACAAGCTGTAAACAAACCAAACTTAATCTAACATACCCAGTAACCTTAACTAACTTAAACCCAACTCAACCTTAAATAACTTGACCCAACAGCATCCTAGGTAGGGTCCAGCTACCAGAAACACGTGCTTGTCATATTTACAACCACAAAAATATTTATTTAGCCTGTAGACTTATTGTCACTCAACTCCACCCCATATAACGACCCTAATGGCAATAAGTTTCTAACGACCATCTTGGACTATCCTTCATTATGTCACTTCACTGTTTCTATGTTTTGAACCAATGTGAACTAGTACAGGTTGACAACCCTTTATCCGAAATTCCGAAAACCGAAAAGCTCTAAATACCGAAAGTTTTTTGTGGGGCTGCTCTTTCTTTCTTTCTTTCTTTCTTTCTTTCTTTTTTTTACAGGGATTATTAGCCCACCCAGGCACAGATCACTGACCCACATCGGGCCTGGGGGGGGGGGAATGTAATAGTAATAATAATTATAATAAATAATTATTCATAGTAAATAAAAAATTTAATAAAAATACACCAAAATAAAATAATAATGATTACAATAATAATAATAATAAAAAAATATAATAATAAAATTATTAATAATAATAACAATAATACTGTAATAATAAAATAATAATACAGTTAAGAAATACAAGAATGAAAAAAAGATCAAAAGTGAGAAACATGACCTAGACCTATGAATTATTATTATTATTGTTATTGTTATTATTTTTATTATATTTTCGCCCTCCAGGCCCCAATGTGGGTCAGTGATCTGTGCCCGGGTGGGCTAATACACATTAAAAAAGAAAAAAAAAGAAAAAAACTTCTGAAAACCGAAAAATTCCGAAAACCGAAATGCCTCTGGCCCCAAGGATTTCGGATAAAGGATTGTCAACCTGTACAATGATTTTACTGAATAAATATCTATCTACAGACACTAACATTCCAAATTACCAGTACAGTACTTCACAATGGATAGTTTTAATTCTCGGCCTGTCAACACAAACCTTTTATGATGGGATGAACTGACTGCTGTAGAATGCAAATACGTACACATACCATACTATTACTCCCCTCTCTTGTAGTTCAGTGTAATATTTTCTTCATTATAATTTTATAATTATTATCCTCCTCCATCATCATCACCACTACCATCATCATGAGCAAATACTCGCACACATTTTGCCATCATTCAATACAATAAATTTATCAGAGATTTATTATAATGTTACCCTTCCACATCATCAGTCATCACCAACACATCAACCACCTCAAATACACAAATAAAAAATGATGACTCAAGCAAGATTAGTCTCAGTAACTGTAAATTATGAAGAAATTATATCAATGATGATAAAAGCCAAGGTTCTCGTGCGCCACAACAGACGTAACACATACCCGGTGCGTTCCCTGCCGCACTGCCTTCCCCGCCCTCATGCAGAGTGTGGTGGATGGTCGTTGCCAGGCGTAGAGTGCGTAGTTCATCCTCTAGGGTGGCAAGCTGGGCCAGCGTGGCGGCCTCTCTGTCACCAAGGGACCTCTGCTCCAATCCCTGGCCAGCCATACACTTCCCAATACAACAACTCTTATGATTTTCCCAGTTTTTAACTTCAATCTTTATGACACAATTACTGATATTTTCTTTTTAAATATTTGTTTCTGTTTTTATTTTTTTTAAGGAATTGTTTCCAAAATAAGAGGATGACAATAAACAAAACCTAAAGATAAATATTTCATAACTTAAAAAAACTAAATTATCATATAATCTTGTAATTACTACAATAACGACAAAAGTATTTAAAATTATCACAAATTAAAAGCTACTGTACACAACCATAATGTTTTAGCTCAAAAAGACTTTAATGCTGTACAGTACAGTCCACCATGCACGGACACAAGTGGTGAAAGAACCCGTCCCAGGAAGCACCACACATGCACACCACAGCCGCCCACATGCTTGGCAGAAAACCAGTGAGACGGGAGAAGCAGAGACCAGCCAGCCAGTCAATACTGCGGCCCAGGCGGGGAAAGGAATGAAAAATTTTGTGTCAGAATTTCACTACAAAGAAAGTTTTCAGATTTTTACTACTAAATTAGTTATACTCATGAAGAGGAATAAACAAAATATAGCAAATTCTGTTACGTAATGATAAATAAATCTCAAACACTGATACTGTACTGTACTGTATATGGAGACAGAACATAACCAATACTTCCCCCTTTTGTGGCTGATAACACAGTATACAGTACTGTACTGCCATGATAAAACCCTCAGGAGAATGACTCATTCCTTAACTACCATCTAGACTATAGCACCATGATACAGGCAGTCCCTGATATACAAAGATCCTATTTACAAAAATCTGAATTTATGGAATAATTCCCATGTTTCAGTTCATGTAAGAAAAAAATCCAAAGTTCTAAAATTCATTTGCTTTTTCATAATTTTTTCATTGCACTGAATGATGCTGAGGTGTTGACACAGGCATCTCATGGCTTCCCATACTGGACCTGGTCAGTTTACAAAGACAATTACAGTAAACTAAACTCAAAAATACAGTATTGTACTATACGGTATTAACCCCTTGTGTACAGGGTCCTCTCTGCTTAATAAAATTGTCTTGCATCCCCACACTGAAGGGGTTAAGAGTGGTTAACTAAGCTATAATAAAATACTTGTAGTACAGGAGGCCCCCAAATTCGCAGGGGCTAGGTTCTCAAAATGGCCGCGAATCGCCAAATCTGTGGATAACATTTGCGGACAGGGCGGGCGGGCGGGCGGGCAGGCGGGGAGGGGGGTTACATTTTTACTTGTGTATAGGTTCTCAAAATGGCCGCGAATCGCCAAATCTGCGGATAACATTTGCGGACAGGGCGGGCGGGCGGGCGGGCAGGCGGGGAGGGGGGTTACATTTTTACTTGTGTATAAAGAAGTGTACAGTTGTACCCCGCTTAACGCGGTCAATTGAACCCACAGGGTACCGCGTTAAGTGAAAACCGCGTTAAGTGAACAACAGAACATATGGGATTAATTCCAATAGAGACTGGCCCGACCCCCAAACTCCACTTTTTGACGACACACAACTATGTTGTAGTAAAAATGTTATCTTAACTTTATGATGGTATGCACACACAATTAATAATTAAGAGAAATATCAATAATATTAGGTTTTTTAACACTTACATTAGTAGTAAAGATGGCTGGGCACACGGGGATGGGGGGTTGGTTCCGAGGCAGAGGGCAGATTATTGGCCCTCACCTAAATCACTTGTATCACTATCCACCACAGAGGCTTGCAAGGCCTCTTTGTCAAACCCCTCAAAGTCCATATAAGTCCATATCCTCACTATAATTATCACTATCACTGACTTGGGCCGGCTGTGGTGGGTGAAGAACTCGGTAATGTTTTGATGACTGGGCGACCTTGTGCGCATCGTGCCCACGCCACTTCCCACGTAGATGAACCGCGTTAAGTGAAAGTTCGGTTCTGGCGAGGCACCGCGTATATGAGAAATCGCGTTAAGTGAAACCGCGTTAAGCGGGGTACAACTGTATATTCCCTTTGGGGGGGTTACATTTTTACTTGTGTACAAAGAAGTGTATATTCCCTTTATGTGTTTGCCCTTAGGACAATTATTTATTTTACCTGTAGTATTGTATATGTGTGTGTGTGTAGACACACACACACACACACACAAAACACATACAGTACAAATAAATAATAATTGGAAAATCCTCTCACAAATAATCAGAAACAAATTTATTAAAATTGTGACCATCTACACTCTAGTCCATGCTCTATTGATAAAGTACAGAGTACTGTAATAGAGAGGGGACTTGAGGGTAGACTGTCACATTTTTAATAAATTTGTTTCGGATTATTTGTGACAGGATTTTCCAATTATTATTTATATGTATGTGTTTTGTGTATCTCTACACACACACACACACACATGCACATATTTACAATACAGGTAAAGGAAATGACTGTCTCTAGAACGAATGGCTCCCTGTCTCCAGCCGCGAAAATGCCAGCAACTTTAAAACTACCCACAGACATTCTTGGGTACATCCAGGGTATCATCCGTGAATAATAGAGGTCCACGAAGTAAAAATCCGTGAACTTGGGGGTCCCCTGCATATTGTTTTAGTCATGACATCTCACATGATTGCTATGTGAAGTAGTGGCAAGATGCTGACCTAAGATGTATCCACTGTGGGAACACTGATGTTCTTAGTATCTCTGAGTTTTATCTGATATCAATGGAAAGAATAAAATATTAAATGTATTAGTTTAGTATTTCTTCTTCAGATAAAATCTCATCCAAAATCAAATCCAGTGAAAGCAAAACATCTCAAAATGTATATACTATACTATACAGTCAGTAAAATAAGTATTAGCCACCCCAAGGTAGATGAAATAGAAAATGAGCGACAACAACCAACTGGCGCCAATAACAGGTATACATTAACAGTTTACGCACCATGTTTAAAATTGTTACACAGGGCAGGTGGTCGATCCTTTTTTATATTGACTGTACAGTGTATACAGTGCAACAGACTTACTGTTGGTGCACCACTACAAAATTAAAACCACACGTCTTGGGTGGGCCTCACAATCTCACACTGCATCACAACAGATTCTCAATAAGTTTAAAGCATTGTGTTTTCTTGTACAGTAAGTATAAATTTATTTCTGTACTGCATGCTCAATATTATGTTTATTATTGACTTAAGCTATGTACAGCAAAATTTGTCATTAACATGTTGTATAACATTTTAAGACATTTTGGGTGAGCTTGTCTTTCTTGCCTACCTCTTTATCATCTCGTATGCTTATAATTTAATGTGAGGTGGATGAAGGAATAAACAAACTCAAAGAAAGGAGGAATATAATCGAGAAAAATGATGCAAGAAAATTCAACAAAGCAGCTGCAAGGGGCAAATACAACAAGCAAAAATATCTACATAAAGTTGCTGCCATCCTTAACTTGCACACTTGACATATACAGTACAGTACAGTGACCTTCTCATAACCATAGTAAGTTACAACACTGAACTGATGATACAAAGTGTACTGTACCGACTACAACCTACCATTAGCTTCGTTTCACTCCTAACAGGCCAACACTAGACCTCTTGACCTCACCTACACAGTATTTTGCCTATCTAACTTTTTATTGTTTTTTGTTCCAGACTTTTGCCTTCAACCACACACAACCTGACTTCAACCACACACAATCTACCTTCAACCACACACAATCTACCTTCAACCACACAACCAAAAGCCCTTTTTATCAACTGTCCATGTGGCAGGTGCTCCTTATAACCTTACCACTTGAGTGCTTCCCTCCACTACACTCTCCGGGGAGTGTTACACCTCACATGTTATTCCAACCCTTCACCCCCGTTCCTTGTCCATACTGTATACAGAATACTGTACTGTACTGTACAGTACTATAGTATGTACCTCCACTGTCTATATAGACCATATGTGCTGAATCAATGTAAAGCTGCATAAAAATTTGTATTGAATAATTATCAATCTATCCATCTACCTATCTACTATCTATCTACTGTATATATTTATCGTTCTAATGCTATTATATTTGCAGGAAAATGCAGTAACCTTAACAGCAGTGACAGCTTCTCTTAAGGTGAGCAAACATGTTTATGTGTTCATCATGTAGAGTGTTGGTGTACAGCAGTGAACATGCAGATGACGACAACATTCTCTCACTAGTTCAAACAATATCTAACAACCACCTCCACATAAAAGAAAATTCCTCAAAGTTTATCAATTTAAATGTACCGTAGCAGGTTCTGAATGTGACTACATTTATTCAGTTTTCATTTTTTTTTCAAATTACGTAAAGTTTGTAATGGTGCAGAAGAAGCACTAACTACAAGACACTGAGGAGGAGGAGACATTAAGACATTTTCTGTATGAGTTACCACTAGTGTCCTCTACATACAGTAAGCCAGCAGTCTGTGTGTTCACCAGTGTTGATGGTGTATACTTAAAAGGCTGTCCCAACACGTGCCAAGTACAATACCTGGGTGTAGGCTGGAGGGGCCGAGGTATAGGCAGCGCCCGCAGATGCCGACGTGGGTGAATAATCGCTGGACCTACGGTGACGCCTCTCGCTGCGTCTGGGAGAACTGGTGCAGCTGCTGTTGCCTCCCGATGGAAGATCCTGAAGCAAGTTTAGCATATATAGTATATAAAATTTACATAATTTAGTGTACAATATCTACATAATTTAGTGTAAAATATCTAAATAATAGAGTATATAATACCTACATAATTTAGTGTACAGCATAATATCTACATAATTTAGTGTAAAATATCTAAATAATAGAGTATATAATACCCACATAATTTAGTGTACAGCATAATATCTACACAATTTGGTATATAACACCTACATAATTTACACTACACCATCTCTATAGGTGGACAAAAATAACTTCCTCAGGAAGGTACTGAAAAACTGCGCCACAAATTCGCACTAACTCTTGAATGTTTGTTTTACTTCTTAAATACAAAATAAGGAAAATATTGTTGTTTATGTACAGTCCACTCCACTTATAAGCCACACAAACTGGCAACCTCACACTTCACTGGGTCCATCCCTCCCCCACCTCCCTAAACATACAAACCAGGCAATAATTGGTGGTCAGCCAAGGTGTAAAGTCAACATTTACCCTCGAACACTTTAGTATGGATAGGTTTTAGAAACAGAAAGAAAATATATTTTTTAAGTAAATGTGTTCGGGGTAAGCAGGGCTGTGGAGTCGGAGTCGGAGAGTCGGAGGAAATTTCGGCTTGTGGAGTCGGAGTCGGTAAAATTGTCCAGACTCCGACTCCGACTCCGACTGAAGCTATTCTGTTCCTAAGAACAAATATATGAACTCAGGCATATTCATTGCAGTGATTCCACTGATCCCACTAATTTTCTTAAATTATTAAAAGAATTTATTTCCATTTTATAAGCATTATTATGAATTTATTGTAGCAGGCACAGTATAGCACTATAATTTTGGACGATAGTCTCTTCTTTACCATTTGAAATTTTGAATTATATCAAATTTTGTTTCGTTGAAAACTGCACAGAGGCTCTCAGCTACAAAACAATTAGCTACAACCTGTTTTTGGTGAGATTAAGGCAAATTTAATTTAATAACTTAATCATGTAAGGTTTATCCATTTTCCTTAATAAGGTATTCATTTCTTTAATGTACATAAATATATAACTTTACTTTAAAAGGAATTGTAGGATCATCATTTAGATCCACATCAGATTATGAGCTTAAACAAAATTCATATGCTGAGATCGAACTTTTAGATATACATGTAAATGGTGTTTTCTAGTTAATATCTTGAATTCTTAATAAATTTATTTTTCTTTTGATTGAAACTTTGAAAGTCAAGCCTATCATCTTTTTGTAGTTCTTAAATATCGTCCAGATCATTAATAAAGCTGTAGCAGTATAGCCACGGTGTTTTACTTTTTACCTATGCAGGTTACAACATACAAATTACAATTAGGATGGTAGAAATAGTTGTTACAAATAGGCCAAGGAGTCGGAGTCGGAGTCGGAAGCATAAAAATTTGAGGAGTCGGGGTCGGAGTCGGAGTCGAAGGTTTTGTCTTCGACTCCACAGCCCTGGGGGTAAGCATTAACTTTACAAAGATCCTGAATCTGTGTCGAGGAATACCTATATACTGACATTTTGAGCAAAATTATTTTGCTCACCAGTAATAATAAGCAAAGTTTTAACCCGCTACAACAAGAGCTGAAGAATATAATCATCTGCCCAAAACACTGGGGTCAGGTTCCTTGAAACACCCGTGTAAACCAACCATGCATCAAAAACTGTGTTGTAGGAGGGTTGACTGTACTGGACCTGCATTGTCTATGCACATACTGAATCAGAGGAAACTGTTATAACCATTTTACTGAATAAAACTGAACTGAAGTGAACACAAACCACCACCAAGTAAGGTTCAACATACTTGTTCGGCAGCATCCACATTGCTGGGGGGGCCGCCACTTCCTCGAGGTGAGAGGCTGAGTCGGTCCATCATGGTTCTGCTGTGCGTTAGGGCAGCATCGCGCTCTTCATTGGCCAGCTTGATTCTCGACATCATGGCCTCATCTCGTACCTTCTGAGCAGCGTGGATCTGACCGACCATTTCTGAAATATACAAGGAATAAATATCTGGACAGCACAGGTGTGAGTGGTATGTGAGGTGCTGGTGGTGGGTGACGCTGGGTTGTGTGAAGAAAACAGGGAAAAATCAGATAGATATTTGAACTTTGCTGTGGAGGGAATCTGTGATGTCTAAGGATCCCTCTCGGTCCCCATATATGCAAAAATGTAATGTCAGGACCATGGAACTTCTACTGATGATGGCCACCGTCCTTACAGCTAACTTCCACTGATGATGGCCACCGTCCTAACAGCTAACTTCCACTGATGATGGCCACCGTCCTTACAGCTAACTTCCACTGATGATGGCCACCGTCCTTACAGCTAACTTCCACTGATGATGACCACCGTCCCTACAGCTAACTTCCACTGATGATGGCCACCGTCCCTACAGCTAACTTCCACTGATGATGGCCACCGTCCTTACAGCTAACTTCCAATGATGATGGCCACCGTCCTTACAGCTAATTTCCACTGATGATGACCACCGTCCTTACAGCTAACTTCTACAGATGATGGCCATTATCCCTACAGCTAACTTCCACTGATGATGACCACTGTTCTTATAACTAACTTACACTGATGATGACCATTGTTCTTATAGCTAACTTCTGCTGATGATGGCCACCACTTAAGAGTTTACTGTTAACAGAAAATAGAAGATGGATCTATTGCTAGATGCATATGGTCATAAAACAATAATAATGATGATTAAGAGATGAGCAGTGTGTTTACAAAACACTAATAAACTAATCTTCCTTAAATAAAAGATAAAGTCTCCCTAGATGGTAATGACTGAGAATATTATAGCAAGTAACAATGTTGATACAATAATCCTGGTTCTCACTTACAAGACCCAAGACCTACCTGCTATGGCTCCAGGCTGAAGACCACTCTCAGTGTAAGAGTCTAGTGAGGCCTTCAACACCTGTATCTCCATCTTGGCTTGGTGTAGTTCTGCCATTAATTTTCTGTTATTAGCCTTGGTAGCATTAAGTTCTGCCACTAATGTCTGGATAAACCTCCACTGAACTTCTAAAGCATTTATTTCTTCAGACTCCCCTTCACTCTGTCCACTCTCTTTAATGTTATCCATGAAGCCGCTCTCTTTACCCGACACACTCAACCGCGATCTGTGTTTCGTCACCTTCTTTTTTGGGGAGTACGTGAGACTGGCAGAACACCTCTGGGCCTGTGTTATGCATGGTTCGCTCATGTGTCTGCTCATGTCCTGGCTTCTGCGCACTGGCTCGTGGTCCTCGCGGGGGAGCGGCAAGCTGCTGTAATCTATGGCACCCGTCAGCTTACACTTCTGTTGTCCCAGAAACACGGAGTTCTCGAGGTGGCTCACACCAGTCTGGCACGTGATGTAGTGGCTGTTGTTCGACAACACATTTTCAGAGCTGGTCTGATCGAGGGAGTGAGGCGCGAGCAAGTAAGGGATGGCACTGTAAGAGGGAGAGCTGCCGAGAGGAAAGTTCCCGTTGAGGCTGGACTGTTGGGAGCTGCCATTGACTCTGGGGGTGGCGGGGAGGCTGTAGGAATGCTGCTGCGTTTTTTTGTGGTGTTTACCATGATGGTGATGAGGACCGTTGTGACGCGACGAACTCCTACGATGGGAAGAAGGACTACTGTCTTCTTCTGTTTCACTGTTGGAAGGACAAACCAAACTTCATAAACTTATAAGAGACAATACTGTATTTAGGAACTTGGAGATGGATTCAACTGTATGTTTAAAATTGTCTCAGTTCAAAAATTTTGTAAAGTACTGATTGCCTGAACTTAATTAAAAATTACAAATTTCTGTAAATTTTGCAACTATTTTACTGAATTAAACAAAACCATGAAAGTTATTAATTACAAGTTTTTAATTGTGCACAAGATTGGCCGCATAACATCTAAAATTATTAAACAAGTATTCCAAATATGGCAACTAACTTGTTGAAATATAAAGCAGATATTCACACTACACAAGGAACACATCAAAACCATTCCCATACTGTACACACTTGAACCATGTGTGACCAGTTGGTAACAAACCTGTCACTGTGTGTGCTGCGTAGCCGAGTTATGGGGGACAGCGGTAAATCTCGGTGGGTGGCAGAGTCGAGGGACGGCGCTCGCTGCATACCGTGAGACCCTCGACTGTTTCTGCTATTAATAAGACGACAACAGTGAAAATACATGAGCCTGGTGGAGAATAATTAAGTACAGTAAACCCTCGATAACTTGGCATTTGATAACTCGGAATTTCATATAACTCGGCAAGGACGGAGCCCCATATGTGCCCAGTTATCGAGGGTTTACTGTATTACTTAAGAAGAATATGTAAAGACGAAAGCTTCAATGATGAACCAAATTAGCAATAAAATACATACCCCACACTTGTGTGATATTCAAGCACTATGGATAACTTACATTATTCTTAATCATTAAGATTTCATAATACAAATATCCATTTATATCCATTTAGCTTTTGTAAAATTGTTTTTGTACCCTTATATGAGGCATAATATGACATTGTTAATACATCAGAGGTGAGTTAGAAGTCAGTCAACTGATGACTCTGTGCCCTTGACGTGTGAAGTGTTAGCTCAGTTCTATTACCAGGGAGAGGGTGAATGAGGTGTGTCTGTCCTTATGTGTACAGATATGACCTCTCTGATGGGTCAAGGACCCACACTAACATTTATGTAAACCATTTTACCAGACAGTTGTTAAAGGGTTGGACAATCTTTCTCATCAAGGTCCTGTACTAAAACAACTCTTAAACCTTCTCACCTGAGGGCAGGAGCACACCGTCTTACCATAACACTCACAAAATTCCAAAAAAGTGTCATTTAAAAAACATACACCACGACGCTGACCAAGGTGCTGCCACACTACACCAGTCACCAGCCTCTCAGTGTCTGATGGTGAAGAGCGTGAGGAGAGAGGCCAACGGTACAGTACTCACGTGTGGTGGTGCTCGTGGCCGTTGGTGTGAGGCGTGGCAGGCAGGTGTCGGGCAGTGGGCGGGTGTTTAGGAGTGGAGCTGAGGGATAGTGACGAAGATTTACGTGGGCGTGGGACAGGGGGGGTTGACACTCGGGGTGCTAGCAAGCCGTCCCTAGAAGGAGCAAGTCGTTAAGAAAACAAAGGTCAAGTAACTCAAAAAAGAAAAACTATTACTAAATAAAAAACAGTAAAGCCAATCAAAAACCACAAACAACCCGTCAAAAACAAACACAGAAAATAAACCAAGAGACCAAAGTGTGCGGCTAGTAAAATGAGGGAGAGATGATGTAGTGACCAAACCCCCTCCCCGAGCACACTGGGATAACTATCCAATAACATGCTGGATATAATTTACATGATGAAGAAATTACTTGAAGATTAGACACCCCAGTTTATTTCACCTGACGATTAAATACCCTAATACTACCTGGTGGGGGTCGGGTTGGGTTAGGTTAGCTTAGATTAGATAAGGATGGTTAATCTTATGGTGAAACAAGCTGAGGGGACTAATCCTCAGATAACCTACTACATCCGTTGATAAGTCACTAATCCAGTCTACTACTTCTTACATCGTCATGACCGAAGATGCGTAACACAATAAAACACCCTCCCAGCAACCCCCCACGTCCTCCTCACAAAATACAACAGAGTGGTCAGTATACATAGGAATAAATCCTTCACTTAAATTTTGTCACGTCGATTTTAGATATACAGTGAACCCTCACTTATTAATTCAACCCACGGCCGAAAGTGAGAACGCGTAAAGTGAACAACATAACATATGGGATTAATTGAAATAGAGACCGGCCCCAAACTCCACTTTTCAGACACAATACTACGTTGTAGTAAAAATAACTTCTTAATTTTATGATGGTATGCACACACAATTAATAATTAAGAGAAATATCAATAATATTAGGTTTTTAACACTTACATTAGTAGAAAAGATGGCTGGGCACACGGGGATGGGGGGTTGGTTCCGAGGCAGAGGGCAGATTATTGGCCCTCACCTGTATCACTTGTATCAATTGTATCACTATCCACCACAGAGGCTTGCAGGGCCTCTTTGTCAAACCCCTCAAAGTCCATATAAGTCCATATCCTCACTATCATTATCACTATCACTGACTTGGGCCGGCTGTGGTGGGTGGCGGGTGAAGAACTCGGTAATGTTTTGATGACTGGGCGACCTTGTGTGCACCCTGCTCGCACTGCTCTCCGCGTAAAGGGGTACACGCACCGCGGAAAGTGAGCATTCCGGTTTCGGCAGGGTACCGCGTAAACGCGGAAACGCGTAATGTGGGACCGCGTAAAGCGAGGGTTGACTGTACAAGAGAACACAAACTTACACATATTTCCCACTAAAGAACTAGCTTAAGGTGAAAGCTTAGCGTAGAGATAAATAATTTTGTAATTGTTATAAAGTTGATGGATAGAAATTATGTGAATATAACTTTGCTTTTAAAACTAGAACTGTGGGAGTGGGTGTGTGGGAGTATGTAGGAATGGGTTTGTGGGAATGGGTGTGGGAGTGAGTTTAAGAATGTGTCTGTGAAAATGCATGTGTAAGAATGATTGTGTGAGAGTAAGTGAGTGTGTGATTGACTGTGTGAGAATAAGTGAGTGAGTGTGTATGTGAGAGAGTGTACTGTAATGGACAACCAAAGGCAAGGAAAAAGGCAAAAAACAATCGGTGCATCAGAAAAACACAAACAGAGCAAAAGTGGGATGCAAGATGAATATACATTAAAAAAATCCACACAAAGATGTCCAGAGTTACGTGTGAAACAAAAACGGTAGTGCATCAAACAAACAAAGACGTACCTTATTGTACCTTTGTTTCACTACAACACTGGTCCTGTGACTTGATTTGTGTTAAATACCAAAACAGAAACTTACGATGTACGAGAAAAACACGACGAGAAACTTCCGACGAAATTTGTATGTGTTTAATGAACGTTCTTAAAGTGATCCAAATGGAAAACACGCACACACTGTCCTATAAAATTAATAATGAACAAGCTTTATGGTTAAATTATTATTAATGCGCATCAAATGACATTCTTACCTTCAAAATCATTATAGTGTACACAAGTGATCAACAAGAAACCAAACTTACAACTCTCTACTGCCAATGAATCAACTCTGACAGCTCCTGGTGGTGATATTCTCAACTACTGCTCTAATACAATCTTCGCTGTATCCCATGTACAGGGTGTGTCATAGGTCAGGCACCATATTGGACAGGGTAAATATAATATGGTATTATGCAACAACCTATGACATGTCCAGTACAGTATGGAAGGTCCAACCTATGACACACCCTGTACACTATACAGTATGGTGCATGACCTATAACACACCCTAATCATCATACACACACAGTAATAAAAGGTACTGTATGTAGGTTATGTATCTAAGCTACTGTGCCAAGTAGCAACCTTGTATATAAGCTACTGTGCCGAGCAGCACCTATGTATATAATTACGTGGCAACGCTGCACGTGTTATGTGGCAACATTGCCACATAACACGTGCAGCGTTGCCACGTAATTATATACATAGGTGCTACTCGGCACAGTAGCTTATATACAAGGTTGCTACTCGGCACAGTAGCTTAGATACATAACCTACACTGTACTGTACATATCTCCACCTCCTCCATTAACAACAACATTAACATTAACAACACAGTACAAAATGTTAACCACAGAATCCTAAAAGTGACTTTGTGAAGACAGTGACCAAGGTTACATAATATTACTGACACAAACCCCACACATAAAATGGACAATATAATGGGTCAAACTTAAGACCTGATGCTCACCACACCATCTACACAGATGTCCAGCTTTTAATTAATATTTCCCGTATATAATACAGTATTGTAAATAAATGTTGATGTAAGACGATGAACAGTGTTTCCAGTGATCAGGTTGTGGCCGCCTTTACTCCGGTTTAACTCCAGCTCACCAACCACCATCACTGCAATTCTTCCAACAATCAGCCATTATTTTCCAAGATATCCAATTATAATATAGAGTTGAGATAGCTTGATATCACTGTGAATACACCCTGAGCACTCTGCTGGTAGTGGGGATCTATTAGAGTTGAGATGACTTGCTACCACACTGACCACACTATGAAAATATCCCAGATAAATAAACATTATAGTGAGTGTGAACCAGAAGGAACAAGATGAACACTATGACTGTTTCTCTCTCTTTCTCCTCTGATTCCCCACAATAACAAATTGAAGCCTTACAAACCACTCCAGATTTACAACAGTAGTGTGAGTCAACTGGTTCACCACAAGCACCAACACCTGTACTGTACACATTACTGTCATCTATACCTATACACACATTAATGTCATCAAAACCTGTACACATGTTACTGTCATCAATACCTGTACACATGTTACTGTCATCAATACCTGTACACACATTATTGCCATCAATACCTGTACACATGTTACTGCCATCAATACCTGTACTGTACACATATTAGTTATTATTATTATGAGATGGAAGACGAAAAAATTACAGTGCTTCATATCCTCACACAGAACCTCCACAACTGTCTGAGTACATCTTAAAATCTCCCGACAAAATAAAACGGATGAAATTATGAGAGTGAACCAATGACATCTGATACTAAATATACTCAAGGTGCTCCTCAAGTCACTCATCAAGGATCTAGGGTCAAAAAGTTGTAAAGTAACATATAAGTTAAGCTAAAAAAAAAAAAAAAGATTCCCATATGCATAAGAACCCTTCAGGTCAATACACACACAATAAACTGTAGACAAAGACTCCTTATTAGGCTTTACAACAGTTAACCAATATATACTGTACCATAACCAGTATATTCATTTATCCATCTATCCAGCCATTAATCCTTGTACAATATCTATCTATCCATCCAATAATCCATTTATAATATCTTATCTATTCACCTAATCATCCATTGATCCATCTCTATCTCGGTACAATATGATAAAATAAAGGAGTGAGCCCCCACGACCACAGCTCACAGCACCCTAGAAGCCACACAAACAACGTAATCACCATATGGTGCCATCCATCGCCAACAACACTCAGGATCAGCGATCAACCTATCTTATTTACCTCACGTGACACAAGTCATACAAGGGGGGGAATGGGGGATGGGATCCACACGGGCTCAAATCACACGTAAGTTTCGTCCCCTAGCCTAAGCAGTCTGAAGTTTTAACACCCTGAAACTATCTGGTGTGGGGGTGAGGGGGGGAGGGGAGGGGTTATCTAAAGGTGATGCATAAGAGGTAAAATTGTGAATGGTCTCGTTTGTGATCTCTTCACTATAACACACTACACAACAGTCACCATCACATACTACACAAGTCACCATCACATACTACACAAGTCAACATCACATACTACATAAGTCACCATCACACACTACACAACAGTCACCATCACATACTACACAACGGTCACCATCATATACTACATAAGTCACTGTCACATACTACACAACAGTCACCCTCACACAAGTCGCCAACAAACTCACGTGAGGCTGGAGGGCGGGGAGGCCAGGTGAAGCTGCGCGAGGTCTTCCATCTCGTCCTGAAGGTAACATCCACGACATGGGTAATAGCCCTCTACGGCAGACCTGTGGAACAATACAGTGAGTACCTCAAACTGACACATGGGAATATAAACACATTAACACTCATGACATTCATTATAAACGCCTCAAACTGACACAAAGGAAAATATAAACACCATACCTTAACACTAGAGCTATTAATTCTATTGTATATAAAGACACGATGTTGCTATAAGAAGAGAATCATTTCCACAACATCAATGAGAATTATAAAACTTGTCAGATTTTATTGATGGAGGTTATAAATGATGAGTCTACTGTATTGCTTTAATCCACTACAGTATTAGAATATATTAATTACATTTATACCCACACTAACCCACAAGACACAACGTACGGTGGGCAGAACACATCACAACACATCCTCCCATACTGCAACAAATATACAACAAACCTCAACACATCCTCACACACCAAAACAAACCTCAACACATCCTCACACACCAAAACAAACCTCAACACATCCTCACACACCAAAACAAACCTCAACACATCCTCACACACCAAAACAAACCTCAACACATCCTCACACACCACAGCACATCCCACCCTATACAAAGTCTTCCGATACTCCCTCCAGCCTCACTGTCAATAAAGTAATCAGCGCACTGACCCACAGGCACTAAACTCCAGGATTAACTCAACGTAAGTCTTTATCACCAAATTAACTTTATCACTTCAGTCTCCTCACCAACTGTAAAGCACCCAACTTAATATAAAAATCATCTAAAATCTATCATTGTTTTTTAATTACAAAACATATAACAAACTAGACCTTATCATTTTCCAAGATCAAATCATGTATTGTACTATCAGTAACAGGATTAATAGACTGATTAAACCAGTGGTTCCTAAATCTACGAGCACACCACTGACGACCCAAGTCTGTTCTGTATTGGAAGACACTGAACCAGTTCGTGCTTTGGATACAAATTTGTCGAGTGTCCAGCAATTGTAGCGTTTTGATTCCTTTTTCAATGACAGACAGACAGGAGAGAACAATCTTTTAGGGTACTTGTCACCTTCCAGACCAAGACATGAAGCATATTGAATGTGAGGGGAGACCTGAGATATGCTCTGCCTGATGTAGTACCAACAATTATTAGTTACAGTATTTAGTTGGCCAAAATCAGTTTCAGCCTTCCTACTGAAGTGCATAAAACTTAAATGTCTCTCATTTATATCTCTGTCTTTGTAATTATGGACAGATTATTTTTATATATTACAGTATTTTTGTTTGTTTATAAATTGTGTTGATACAGTTGAATGTAATATGAATACTAAATTTGACGACATTGGTTTTTCCGTTACAGCTGTACTCCCGAGGCTCAATGAATACAGTACACTGAAGTTAGGGTTTTTTAACTTTGGATAATTACAATTGAAGGTACAATAATTACTGATTTACTTGACGACTAGAGTGGCAGTGAGACAAAAAAGGTTACGAACCACTGGATTAATCTATACACATTCACTAGACCAACACATGAATTAACACTGACATACACATTCATAACAAACATCAGCTCAAAGTAAACAATAATAAACAATATAAAACAGATACCATAAATGTGTAAAAACAAAATGTAAATAATAAACTCTTAACTTTCTTTAACTTACACGAGGAAACTTATTTTTTCTGTTTTACTGGAGGCCATAGTGTTGGGCGATACACTCAACATACTATACTGTCTCCGTCACACACAACTTCACTCAGTTAAAACATGACATTATAGAGTCCTTTTGTAGTCTACGTCAGAACGCAGAACTAATAAGCTAATCTTCCTATACAGTGATGCGTCCTGTCAACAACAATACTGTGTGAACACCCAACAGCCACGACACTCGGGATGGGCACTATCAAGTTGCTGATAGCTCGATGCCTCCAACCCAAGGACTAGGAGTGGTTACGTAAGACACACCACAGCACACACTCAGTCATTCACCACACACACGCACACAAACACACAAGCCATGGAACAAATTTTTGCGCCATGACAGACCATATGAATGAGGTGAACAGAATTGTTTATAGAATATTTCTAATTAAGGATTACCTGAAGATTTAGACACTCAAACTTATTTCACCTGAAGATTAAACACCCTAGTGCTACCTGATTGAGTTAGGTTAGGTTAATTAGGTTATGTTAGATTAATATTAGGTTTGATTATGTTAGGTCAGGTTATTTTGTTAGGTTAGAGTCTGTTAGGTTAGTGTTAGATTAGATAATATTAGGTTATGTTATGTAAAGTTAGTGTTAGATTAGTGTTAGATTAGCTTAGCTTAGGTTAGGTTAGGTTAGGTTAGGTCAGGTCAGGTCATTAGAGTGATTAATCTTAAGATAAAATAAGGTGGGGCTAATCTTCACAATATCAATAATTATGTACATCTTGTAAAATAAAAAACAACCAATTAAATTACATAATGAAGTCACAGAGGAAGTTTCAGCAAGTACTGTAGCCTAGTACGGTAGGTCAGGTTACAGGACAGGCCAGGTTCAGTGGTTCACCATACAAAACTGGTTAGACTCCTTCACTGCCACACTCCACTCACTCAGTAAAGTTAGCCTACTACAGTATACTCATCATCACCATCATGACCATTTTACAGCCATACGGTTATTGAGGTGATAAAGTGGCAAGACCAGTGCCAACTGACCATTTAACATGTACACAATGTGCACCACTCTTGTAATTTTCAGTTTCGCAGCAAAATTCACAGTACGAGTTAGGAGCAAATGTGGGGATCCAACTGTATGCAGGTGTCCTCCAGTATTAGAAGAGGCTGCATTCCTGGAAATGAATTTGATAAGTGAAAAATGTACTGGAAGAACTTGTGTATTATTGGGGGGAGGTAAACTGTTGGTCAATTGGAAGGTTTTCACACAAAGTTCACCACTATATGTCCTGTAAAAATAATACTGTAGTACAGTATAGAATAAATACATTGAAAAGAATGATCATCGTGCAGTTGTGTAAAAGCATCTCTGTACATCCTGGGTGACCACGTGACAGCTGAAATTTTAAATAATTTAAAGAAAAGAGGCATCAAAATGAGACTATCATTTAAATAAACTTTTGTTTAAAGGGCAAAAATATATCAACTGATACCTGCACTCTATTAGTCGTTCTTTTTCTCTACCATAAAAAAATTAATCCCATCGCTGCCAACTTATATATAAATAGATCACCTAAAGAATCCCAACCCCAGCTTATTTCACCTAAACATTAACCACCTTAATGCTAACCTAACCTAACCCAAACTAGCCTAACTTAACCTAACCTAGCTGAACTTAACCTAACCTTAATTCAAACTTAACCTAGCCTAGCCTAAACTAAACTAATCTAATCTAACCACATGCCCCCAAATAGTGTTAGGGTGGTTAATCTTTAGATGAAATAAGCAGGGGGAAACATTCTTCAGGTGATCAATATAAACAGCAAATTTAATTCCTACACTAAAAAAAACAAACTTACTGGCATTTGGTCTCAAAATTACAGTAAATAAAATAACAGACTTATACTGAAATTCGTTTATTCATCAATATTACAAAACATTAAAAAATTTATAATACTGTATATACTTCTGAACCTATACTGTATACGTATATATAAACTTAATTAGCTTATTTTTAATTTTCATTCTATTATTTTAACAGAGATATCAAACAGTACCGTTTTATGGCCGTTGACACCAGTTAGTCACCTCTCAACAGGCCTTCAGTGACTAATCTCTCTTATTTCACCCTTTTCTCTCCATTTATCTGTTATTTGTTGATATATTTCACTCCTGTTGTGGGATTAAGAACAACTGGTAGCTAATAGAACCGTTTGAATAACCCGTTAAGGTCAATACATTTAACAGGGTGACCATTGCTCTACTTAATTCCCTCCTCTCATTTATCTCTCTCATTTCACTCTTTCTGTTGTTTTTTTCCATCATAACTATTACCTAAGATTAAACCATAACTGTTATAACGGTAAAAACAACAGAAACATCACCATAACCGTTTAAAATCCCCGTTAACGACAATAGTTACGAGGGAAAAATTGACTCCCCCACCAAGACTCTCTACTCAATACCACACACACACACCTCTCACTTGTCTCACTCATTTCACCCCTTTATCTCCCTCAATTCTCATTATCTCCCCTCACCTTGGTCTCCTAGGGCCATGATGGTGATGCTGGGTTAGGTCTCCAGGTATATACGGCCTCCATGGAGTCTCCTTAGAGGTTAAAAGAGAAGGGAGGTATGAGACAGACAACCACCTCCTTCAGTCTTGTTTGTTGTGATTTTCTGACCAACAGTGATGAGTCTCCATCTGTTGCCTGCTGTACACACTAATGCTGTTTTGGGCTGTTATTTATGCTGTTTTTGTTGTTATTTTGATTGTGTTGACACTGTGTTGCTATTATCTGAGCTGTAATTACTTTAACTTGGTTGTGGTTCTTCAAGGAAATGTATAACCTGTAATATTATCCTGCCCGCTGATCAAACTAATGCTGTTTGAGCTGTTTTTGCTGTTATTTCTGCAGTTGTAATACTGTTTTCCTGTTATCTGATCTGTTGTGTTACTAAGATTTCACCATATTGCTTTAACTTGACCTTGCTTTAAGAGAAAAATTTATACATTTACATAATTTCATCATTTAACACTTAAAGACTCTATACCCCCAGCTTATTTATTAAGATTAACTTAACCTAACCTAACCCTAACCTAACTTAGCCTAACCTCACCCCCAAACAGTGTTAGGTTAGTTAATATTTGTTACTATATTATAACCTTTATTGTCCAGTGTTAGTACAGGAGAAATGTGTAGTTACACTGGATAACACCTTCTCACATGTGTTCCGGTCAAGGACTCGAACTCATGACATAATAGTGAGAGATACTCCCTGTATTATCAACACTTGCTATTTCAGCTGTTTAACTGTTATTTCAGCTTTTTGTACTGTTATTTCGGCTGTTTTACTGTTGTTTCGGCACGTTTTACCGTTGTTTCGGCTGTTTTATGTTATTTCTGATATTTTTACTGCTATTGCAGATCTTTTTACTGTTATTTCGGCTATTTTAGTGTTTTTTCGGCCCTTTTTACTGTTGTTTCGGCTATTTTATATTATTTCGACTATTTTTACTGGTATTTTGGCTGTTTGTACTGTTAAATGGACTGTTGTATTGCAGTATTTTGACCGTGCTATTAAGGATATCCAAGAGTACAATAATAACAAGGAAGAAGAACCACAAGTTGATCAACGATTCTCAACATGGCTTCAAAAGTGGGCCTTCATATCTAACAAATCTACAGCATTAAACATTCTTTTCAACTGTTTTCGAATCAGTGGATAACGGGCACGATTATGAAGTGGTATACCTCGACGTAAGCAAAGCCTTCGACTGAGTCCCCCACGAGAGAGTAATACGAAAAATAGAGTGGAATTGGAGAAGATATTCTAAAATGAATTAGGGCGTGGTTACAGGACAGGAAACGGCGAGGAAACATTAACGGCACCCTTAAATCTGATTGGGGTAACGTCACTAGTGGAGTTCCCCAAGGCTTAGTACTTGGATCATTACTATTTATTATATGTATAAACGGCATAGATATAGGCGTAGATAACAACATAAGTAAATTTGCTGACAACACTAATATAGGACGCAATTAAATATGACGAACACTCCGTAAAACTACAGGAAGATCTAAAAAAATTTTTTGCGTGGTCTGAAATATGGCAGATGAAATTTAATGTGGACAAATGTAAAGTATTTAGTCTAGGAGATGTAAACAGAGAAACCAGATATGAAATGAACAACGCTGTTATTGAGAAATCAGACTTTGAGAAAGATTTAGGAGTAATGATAAGTAGGAATCTTAAACCAAGTCAACAATAAGTATTTGCTCGAAACAAGGCTAACGAAGAACTTGGATTCATATAAAAAGGTGTGTGTTACAAAACTAGCGAGGTTATCCTAAAACTATATCTTGCACTTGTGAGACCTCACTTGGAGAATGACAAGACTAATAAGAACATAAGAAAATAAGGAGTCTGCAATAGGCCGGTTTGCTTGTGCATGGCAGCTCCTGTCGAGAGTTACTACCACTCTCTATCATCCATGAATCTATCCAGCCTCCTTTTGAAACTTTCCAGAGTTCCAGCACTTACCACAAAGTTGCTAAGCTTGTTCCACTCGTCCACCACCCTATTTGTGAACCAGTTCCTTCCTATCTCCCTCCTAAACCTAAACTTATCCAACTTAAATCCGTTGCTCCGAGTCCTATCCTGCTCGGATATTATAAGAACTTTATCAATATCCCCTTTATTGATTCCTTTCACCCACTTAAATACTTCTATCATATCTCCCCGCACTCTTCGTCTTTCTAGGGAATGCAAGTTTAGTTTCTTTAACCTATCCTGATATGGAAGGTTTCTAAGTCCTGGAATCATATTCGTCATTCTTCGTTGCACCGACTCTAGTGAACTGATATCCATTCTATAATAAGGGCACCAGAACTGAACCGCAGAGTGAGGGGCGATATGATCGAGGTATATAAATGGAAGTCAGGGCTAAACAAAGGTGATATAACAAAGGTACTCAATCTATGCAGCCAGGAGCGAACTCGTAGTAATGGTTTTAAATTTTACAAATTTAGATTTAGGCGCGAGATAGGTAAACACTGGTTTGGAAATAGAGTAGTGGATGAGTGGAACAAGTTACCAAACATAAACAGCAACTCAAATATAGCTTCAAACACAGGTTGGATGGATATATGAGCGATAGGGGTTGGGTGTAAACGGGACTGCCTAGTATGGGCCAATAGGCCCGCTGTAATTTCCCCTATTCTTATGTTAAGTTCTTAAGAAGAAAAAGAGACAACAATAACAACAAAAACGAAGAAGAAGAGACAGGGACAGACTGCGGCCACACTTACACCACAACATTGTCTTGGCTTTCTCGACACCATCTCAGATCACCAGGTCACGTGTTTCACCAGGTCACGTGTTTCACTAGGTCACGTGTTTCACCAGGTCACGCGTTTCACCAGGTCACGCGTTTCACCAGGTCACGCGTTTCACCAGGTCACGCGTTTCACCAGGTCACGCGTTTCACCAGGTCACGCGTTTCACCAGGTCACGCGTTTCACCAGGTCACGCGTTTCACCAGGTCACGTGTTTCACCAGGTCACGTGTTTCACCAGGTCACGCGTTTCACCAGGTCACATGTTTCACCAGGTCACCTTCATTATTATTATTATTATTATTATTATTATTATTATCAATTTCTTTCTGATTTTTTCGCCCCCCAGGCCCCGCTGTGGGTCGTTTGACCGGGTGGGCTAATTCCCGTAAAAAAGAAAAGATAGCGAGTTAAGTTATAAATTTAATAGACCATTACATAGTTAGTTACTTGTAGTTATATAGAGTTATTTAATTAGCTAGTTATTTAGTTATTTGGACATTATGTTTTGTTAGTTAGACACTTAATTAATTGATGAGATATTTACTAGATATATAGTTAGTTGGACATTTAGTGAGATAGTTAGTTGGACATTCAGTTAGTTAGTTAGTTGGACATTCGTTCATAAGCACAACACACACAACAGATAAGTGCTCCTACCAAGTATGTTGATAGCTTCTGGAGGCATCACCATTGCGTATTAACATATTATTTTCTACCGCTTCTTCCCACTTTTTAATCGTAATACAAAGACTTGATTCATCTTTAGACTCATTATAGACGTGATTAGTTCGTGAATAAGATGTTAATAAGAAAAAAATAATGATGGATGTGTTGTGAGTTTGGCATCAGCAGGATGACCTTCAAAGAGCGGGCAGAATTTGCTGTTTCATTGTGATGTATCAATTTTCCTCCTGATTGTCTCTAATTTTGGCTTATTGTGATGTTATTACGATTATTTAAGGTATATTATAACACTTATGATTATGTAAAAAGGTGATAATTATCCATTGAATCAAAATATCATTCATAGAGTAATTATTATTAGGTTTATATACATCACTGCCACACGTAGGATAAAGAGAACGTTATAATTTTTCCATTCATAACGTTAATATAATTATATATATTAATAGACATATTATAACCATAAAAATATATACTGCAAAAATATAATTTATACATATATTTCTAAATGTTAGATAATTTATTCAGTATGCATACATTGAGTCTCTGGCAACTATACAGTACGACATTTTGGTCTTTTATCATTACAGCCCACCTCTGGTTAACTTGAAGACGAAGGAAATAGTAAGTGTCTTCATTTATCCCTTTTAACCTTATTTTCTCATGTATTTTACCCGAGTAATATATATTTTATTCATCAATAACACTAGATTAATATTTTATATAATTTGTGGCTCAATATTGTTAGTTTTGTGTAGGAATTGTGTTGATGTTCCCAGCTAGTGTTTGTACCCATCCCTGTCTGTAGTCTACCATAACTGTGTGTACTCATACCTGTGTTTGTACCGTAACTGTGTATACCCATACCTGTCTGTACCATAGCTATGTCATTGTACCATAACTGTGTGTACCATAACTGTGTGCCATAACTGTCAGTACTTAGAAACCTTCCATATCAAGATAGGTTAAAGAAACTAAACTTGCATTCTCTAGAAAGACGAAGAGTGCGGGGAGATATGATAGAAGTATTTAAGCGGGTGAAAGGAATCAATAAAGGATATATAGATAAAGTTCTTATAATATCCGAACAGGATAGGACTCGGAGCAACGGATTTAAGTTGGATAAGTTTAGGTTTAGGAGGGAGATAGGAAGGAACTGGTTCACAAATAGGGTGGTGGACGAGTGGAACAAGCTTAGCAACTTTGTAGTAAGTGCTGGAACGCTGGAAAGTTTTAAAAGGAGGCTAGATAGATCATGGATGATAGAGAGTGGTAGTAACTCGACAGGAGCTGCCATGGCAGTTGTTGTCGAGGGATCGATTTCTCGCTCTTTCTCTACCAATAGTGGCGTCCCACAGGGTTCTGTTCTTTCACCAACTCTCTTTCTTCTTTTTATCAATGATTTACTTCACACTACAACTAATTCTCTCCATTCTTACGCCGATGATTCTACTCTTCACTCTTCCTCACATTTTCCCCTTCCTTCTAACTCTCAAACTAGATCTGTTTCTAGAACTGATATCATTACTTCTATCAACGCGGATCTGTGCAGCATCTCTGAATGGGGAGATACAAACTTGGTTAAGTTCAATAGTAACAAAACTCAATATTTACCAATTACACTTTGTAAAGTAGACGATCTCCCACCAATTACATTTCAGGACGCTATCATCCCCCCAAATTCTGAAATAAATATGTTAGGCCTCACCATTTCCTCCAATATGTCCTGGAAATCACACATCCTTAGTATAACTAAAGCTGCCTCCCGAAAGTTGGGAATGCTGTACAGATGCCGCAGCTACTTCACTCCTGAGCAGTTGCTCCAAGTATATAAGGGATTCATTCGTCCTAACTTGGAGTACTGCTCTCATATCTGGGGTGGCTCTCCTTCTGTCCAACTATTAGATAGGGTGGAATCAAAGGCATTTCGTCTTATTAACTCTCCTCCTTTAGTCGACAATCTCTCTCCCCTTTCTCTTCGCCGCAATGTTGCTTCACTCTCTCTTTTACAGGTACTTTAACGGACAATGTTCAGGGGATTTGGCATCCTGTGTACCGCCGGCAAGGCCGTGGGTTCGTAACACACGTCATGCCCGCGGTGCCCACCATTTCTCTGTGGATATCGGTCACATGAGAATAACCCGTTATAGTACCTCCTTCTTTCCTCACACAGCCAAACTGTGGAATGCTCTGCCTTCCTCAGTGTTTCCATGCTCTTACAATCTGTCTCACTTTAAAAAGCTGGTTTTCCGGCATCTTCGTGGTGTAGATTAATACAGTATAACCTTTTTTTCTATATTTTCAATTTCTTTCCGTTCTTTTTTTTCGCCCCCCAGGCTCCGTTGTGGGTCGTTTGACCTGTGCCCGGGTTGGCTAATTCCCGTAAAAAAAAAAAAAATGCACAGGCCAACCAGCCTATTATCATAAGAAAAAATAAGGAGTCTGTAATATTTCCTATTGCAGACTCCTTTTTATTTCTTATGTTCTTATAATTATGTACAATAACTGCGTCCATAATTGTGTTTGTACTATACTTTTACTTTTATCCTCTTCATCACTGATTGGCTTGTTAGCCGCTTGGGCGATCGGTCACGTCTCTGTCACGCACTGTTGGCAAGTACTGGGCATGCACCGGCTTCTGAATGTACCTGAACCCGCTCCAGTGTTGGTCAAGTCTTGTCTTGAAAGAACTCACACTCGGTGCCGTCACAACACGTTCTAGCAGATTGTTCCAAGAGTTCACAACTCTCACTCCGAAAAAGTTTTCCCTCACAGTTTTCTGGACCTGAGGCTTCTTCAATCTTGAGCTGTGACCCCTTGTGGGGCGAGCGTCCGCCAGCTCCAAGTAAGGACACTCGACTGAGTAGTGCCCCTTGAGATGCTTATACACCTCAACTAGGTCACCCCTTGCCCGTCTGTAGTATAAGCTAGGCAAGTTCAGGCGCTCCAATCTCTCAGGGTAGTTGAGGTGCCAAAGTGCAGGCACCAGTCTGGTGGCCCTCCTTTGAACATTTTCAACCAACTGACAGTCCCTAGCATATCTCGGGGACCAGACGGGGTGACAGTACTCCAGATGGGGATGTACTTAGCTGTCTGTGTACCATAATTGTGTACAATAACTGTGTCCATAATTGTGTGTACCTTAACTATGTCTACAATAAATGTGTACCATATTTGCGTACAATAATTTTGTGTACCATAAATGTGTTCTTAACTGTTTTTGTATCATAACTGTGTCCATAACTGTCAGTACTATAGTTTTCTGTGGTCATATTACAATGTGTACCAAAACTGTGGCTGTATGATAATTGTGTCTGTGGTTATATAACTGTCTGTGTACCTTAACTGTATCTATACCATGACTGTCTATACCATAACTGCGTGTACCATAACTGTGTGGCCATAATTCCATAACTTTGTGTACCATAACTATGTCTGGACCATAACTGTGTGTACCATAACTGTGTCTGTACCTTAACTGTGCATGTGGCTATAGGTGTGTGTACCATAACTGCGTGTACCATAACTGTGTACCATATTTGTGTCTGTACCATAATTGTGTGTACTGTAACTATATCTACCATAACTGTGTATATGGCCATAACTGTGTGTACCATAACTGTGTGTACATATCTGCGTGTACCATATCTGTGTACCATAACTGCGTGTGCCATAACTGTGTCTGTACCATAACTGTGTGTACATATCTGCGTGTACCATATCTGTGTATGTGGCTATAACTGTGTCTGTACCATAACTGTGTCTGTATCATAACTGTGTCTGTACCATAACTGTGTCTGTACCATAACTGTGTCTGTATCATAACTGTGTCTGTACCATAACTGTGTCTGTACCATAACTGTGTATGTGTTCATAACTGTGTCTGTACCATAACTGTGTCTGTACCATAACTGTGTCTGTACCATAACTGTGTCTGTACCATAACTGTGTCTGTACCATAACTGTGTATGTACCATAACTGTGTCTGTACCATAACTGTGTCTGTACCATAACTGTGTATGTGTTCATAACTGTGTCTGTACCATAACTGTGTCTGCACCAGAAACATTGTTGCGAACTGTTTCTGGATAAGGTATCTTGGTGTGTACGAGGTCCTGGGACAGTGTTTTGGACTGTTGCGAGACAGTCGAGCAAAACTTTTTTAATTTTTCTGAGACAGCCACAAAACAGTTGAGAGACAATGTTGCGCAACAATGTATCTCGGTGTATACGCGGCCTCAGAGTATCTCGTGAGGTCTACTCTACTTAGCACTGGTACTGTTACTATTGCCAAGCTCTGTGTCTTTTGGGGGTAAGTTTGGGCAAAGACTCATCGTGTTGTGTTAGTACCACAACTGCTTATGCCCGTAACTGTGTCTGTACCATAAATGTGTTATCCATAACTGTGTTATACCATAACTATCATAATTGTGTCTGTGTACCATAACTATGTTTGTACCCACAACTGTCTGTACTGTAATAGCCCCTGTCTTATAGGCAGAAGTATTATATAAATGGGTTAATTAACATATGATTTATATAGTCTATCACCCTCGGTAACTTTGCACTAGCTATGAGGTAGCATGTTCAGAGCACGTGGTAAGGTGTGCCCACGGGAAGTCGTGTCACTTAATGCTGAGCTAAGGCACTAGTAGCCGGCTCTCTGGCCACCTGATGCGGGCAGTAGTTTGATATCCTTGACGAAAGGAAGACGGAGCCATCGTGCATGGATCCGTCTTCCCTCGAGGGAGGACGTATATTACCGTTCTCCCTCGACGGGTATTATGGGATTGTCCCTCAACACCTCACACCAACCAGACGTATTTAGAAGAGCTCTTTAATAGAGCCTCCGTCCTCATCTCAACACTCATAGCTACAGTGATTAAGTTACGGTGATATACACTTGGAACTGTATCTCAGATAGTTCCTCAATAAATAGATAACTGACAATTGGGTTTCGTTACTAAAACCCTATATAATATACATGTTCCTGCCTCATTAACACAGAAGGAATCAACTGTTAAAGGGCCAGATCAGTACCATAACCTCCCGTATATCATAACTGTGTCTGTGCCCATAAGTCTCTGTGTACCATAACTATGCTTACCATAACTGTGTGTACCATAAGTGTCTGTGTGTTGAGACAGATGTTATGGGATCAAGAGATATTTATCAGTGGCTAGTTGAGTCTCTATCTCTCTAAAAAAAAAATGAAAATCAAGAACACAAGACAAACACGATAAAAAAATGCACTTAAACAACTTGCTTGATTACTTTCCTTATTAATTACTTATTTATTTTCTTACTTATTTACAGCAACACGAGGACGAGTTTTTGCAGTGACAAGAACAGAGGAAGAAATTCTTGCAGCAACAGCATCATAAAACAGCAACATGTCAGCCTGGAGTGTGGACAACCCCGTGTTCAACAGCTACATCTTCTGGTCAGCTGTACTGGCCGCTAAGGTTCTCGTCATGGGGCCTATCACTGGATACTACCGAATTTCTCGAAAGGTGAGTACTGTTTAACTTACATAACCCAACCTAGCCTAACCTAACCTAACCTTACCTAACTTAACTTAACTGTGAGTACTGTTTAACTTACCTAACCTAACCTAACCTAATCTAACCTAACCTAACCTAACCTAACCTAACCTAACCTAACCTAACCTTTACCTTACCTAATCTAATTTTACAGTATATACACAGACGTTCACTTAACACTACATACATTCACTTTATACACTCGCTTATAATCACTTATGTTCACTTTATACACACAGGCGTTCGCTAACCCCGAGGACGCCCTTCACATGGGTGCCAAGGATACCAAGACGAACCCAGAAGTGGAGCGTGTGAGGAGGTGAGTCTTTCTCTTTATCTATCTCTCTCTTTATCTGTCTATCTATCCACCCCCAGTGTTCTTCGTTGAGTGAAAACATTAGAAATTGAAAAATATTTCTTTCACACTCTCTCTCTCTCTCTCTCTCTCTGTCTCACACACACAGAACCCAGACTAACCCCACCTTCACCTTACAGAGCCCATCAGAACGACCTGGAGAACATCCCGGTCTTCTGGGTGGCCGGGCTGTTCTACGTCCTTACCAACCCCTCCCCGTTCACCGCCTACTTGTTGTTTCGGGCGTTCTCAGCGGCCAGGATACTACACACGCTGCTCTACCTCGGAGGCAGTCCCTACAGGGGTATGGCTTTCTTCCTGGGCACGCTCGTCAACTTTTTCATCGTCGGCAACGTTCTCTACAGCTTCTATTAGAGGGGGAGGTGGGGGGGGGGTTCTGGAGGTACTTGGAGTATCTTTTGGAGGTTTTGGGAGGTATTTGGAAGGCTGTTAAGAGATATTTGGAGGGATTTTAGAGGCACTAGAGTGTTTCTAGAGTCACTTGTTTTTTTTAGAGGCACTTGGAGTGTTTCTAGAGGTAATGGAGGGGTTTTAGGAGCACTTGTTTTTTTAGAGGCACTTGAAGGTTTCTAGGGGTTCTGGAGGGTTTCTAGAGGCAATTGGAGTGTTTGTAGGGTAATGGAGTGGTTTCTAGAGTGACTGTTTTTCATATTAGACTTAATAGTGTTTTCTAGAATGATACAGTGGTTTCTAGAATAATACAGTGTGTGTGTGTGTGTGTGTGTGTGATGCAATGGTTTCTAGAGTGGTACAATGGTTTCTAGAATGATACAATGTTTTCTAAAATGATACAATGATTTCTAGAGTGATACAATGATTTCTAGAATGATACAATGGTTTCTAGAATGATACAATGGTTTCTAGAATGATACAATGTTTTTTAAAGTGATACAATGGTTTCTAGAATGATACAATAGTTTATAGAATGATACAATAGTTTATAGAATGATACAATGGTTTCTAGAGTGATACAATGGTTTCTAGAACGATACAACGGTTTCTAGAATGATATAATGGTTTCTAGGGTGATACAATGGTTTCTAGAATGATACAATGGTTTCTAGAGATACAATGGTTTCTAGAACGCTGCAATGGTTTCTAGAGTGATTCAATGGTTTCTAGAATGATACAATGGTTTCTAAATATACAATGGTTTCTAGAGCGATAGAATGGTTTCTAGAATGATACAATGGTTTCTAGAGATACAAAGGTTATAACTGGTTTCTAAATGTTTTCCATTAGATAACAGTTGTGACTTTTGTTGTTCTCAGTGGTTATTAATGATCAAATGTCTACCAGGTTTTGTTAAGGAAATAATGAGTGGGATTATGAGTGGAAGTTACCTGTGTGGGATTTACCTGAGTGAGAGTTACCTGTGTGGGATTATGAGTGGAATTTACTTGTGTGGGACTTACCTTGTTAAGATTATGTGGGATTATGAGTGGGATTTTGTTTCATTCTTAGTTCGTTCATAATTATTAACAAATTTACAGGCAAGTCGTTTACAGTCATTTTTACATATTTGTGTAAATTGCCGAGATGTTTATATTCAATTTACGACTGGTAATGTACTTCTGATGTAATGATTAATTGACATGAACTACTGTACTTATACCGTGTACAGAATGATCAAATGAAAGTGTACCGTACAGTACACCACATGTCCATTATGTACTCTACTGTATGTACTCTGTATTTTAATGTACTTGTCACTAGGTACATACATACGTGTCAAATTATATAAATAAACATGTTAAAACAGATATATAATAGGTTAACTCCTTTACTACCCTTAATTTAATATATATTAGCTCATCTTTGAACTCGGAGTGAGATCGATTTTAGACAAGTGTAGACCGACATGTTGGAGTTGGGGGACCATGTCACACTCGCTGAGTCTCCTGTGAGGAAAGTGTTATACCTGGAGAAAACACTGGATAATACCTTTCTTACGTCTGACGCGGACAGCATATAAAAACCGGGAGACAGTAGCAAGATGCCCGCATATAACAATGACTGAACGGTATAATGATGGTTGACCCTCGTGAAACGAGGATGGCTGGCCCAAGGGCCACCTAGGAGTGAATTTGTTTAAGGTGTAGACGCTGTCGCCAACACAACAACCATACCCTGAGTTAACGCGCTGCTTGACCCAATGTCAAGGAATAGTCCGGGAAGACCGGACAACTCGCCAACTGCACTGGCTAACCATTACCCCGGAACACGATCCGCAAATCAATTAACATCCAGGTTCCCACTTACTGCTGGATAAACAGAGGCAAATGACGTAAAGAAACTTGCCCATAGTTTGACCCTGCAGGGCATCGAACCTGGGTCCGCTCGCTTGCGAGGCGAGCATGCTGACCATTACACCACAGGTCACAAAACGGGATATAGTATTAGGGTAACAGCCGCGAGTCACAGTCACCTAACCCAACACACAAGGGGTAAACAGGATAACTCCAGTAAGGTTGTGGCGGCAGTACACAAGGTAAGGAAAATTACTCACAAAATCACATGATCCCAGCAATGACGTCAAACCACAGTAGTGACGTCATCAAGCCACCGTCACATAAAGGGTGGGCGAGGTTGATGGGTGTCACTTGTGGTCAGGTTGGGCGAGTGAGCGCATACGCTCTCTTCTATCTCTTCCTGCCCACACAAAACACACAGATTATTTGGCCAAATCAGGGTTGTTTGGCGTTTTTATTTCTCCAAACTAAGAGTGTAAGACCTATTTGGCACCCCCCAGTCCCCAAGGGTAAAACCAAAACAAAAGTCACTTCAGTAGACATAATTTTCTCCAAAATAAACGAATTCCCATTTGGCTGTCTGTCTCCTGCCCAAAACAAGTGCCTCTTAATTTGGTTATTTTTTCCCCTGTACATCACGTCTACAAGTTGCGAGGCTGCTGACTGCTTAACCCAACAACACAAAAGGTTAGTAACATAAAAACAAGTTTGAGAGGTTCTTGAGCCTAGTGGCCAGCCATCCTCAGCCACCCTCTCACCCCTCGTTTTATGAATGGTTCTCTCCATCATTGTGAAGACTCAACAAATATTATCTCATTTAAGCTCCTTCTGTTCTCAGAGATTACATACTGTGGTTAGGTTAGGTTAGGTTGGTGTATACGAAACCGGTCGATGAACGTAAAACATTTTCCACTTTCAGCTTAAATTTCACCTTATCTAGTAACGCGAGTCTCTGGGGTGGTGGAGGTGACCCGAGAGAACCAGAGTAATTAACTTCATCATCCAGGTAAGCCAGGGAGTGCTTACCTGAGGTGGGAGGCAAGATGAAATTAATAACACACTGGGATGAGGAAAGAGCAATTTTCAACTCATATGTCACGCGTCGAGGTGCACACCCTTCGAAAAGACAATCTGGGGGCGATTTTTCAGCTACCGGGATAATCCAGTATGCAAACACGAGGCGTGTTAATAGTATGCTAGCTCTGGAGGCGAGCGAGAGGAGTCAGTACTATAATAGCATATTAGTGTGTCATGGTTTTGGTGTGGATCAGTCCACCAAGAAGAATCGGTGGTAGTAGGAGTGGATTATATTATATAAAGATAATAATATGTCGTATTTCTTATTTCTTACCGTAGAGTTCGATACCTTCACACTGGTTACTTACAGGAGATTATGGCGTATCTACGTAGAAGTTCACTCCACCACTCGACATTCCATGATTTATACTTGATAAATGATGATTTAATGAATTCATTTAATTTTCAACATCCATCTAAGTTATTGGTTATACTATGTCATAACCAATCAGTCATTACCTTTAGTAATAATAAGATAGGATCACAGATACGGGCAGATAATTGCACTTACATTTATTTGTCAAGCTTCCATACAATGATTTACAATTTGCATGGATATATGATTTACTCACGTTCACGCTGTAATAAAATTAATCTTCTAAAAGAGAATTTTAACTTGGGGACACATGTGATTACTCTACTATGGATATAACTTAACAGAGCCTTAATTCTTCAAGTGATACATTTACTGCCAGCCTGGATTGCTTTTGTTGCAACCAGGCTTCCGCACAAGAACTTCTTTCCACGGGCCACAGCAACAAAAAGTACTCTTGGGTTACCACACATGGTGTCGTGCAGGAGAACTCTGTAAGCGTGACTTGAATTAACCATTTAGGTGCAATAGACCAGCCTGGATTGCTTTTGTCGCAACCAGGCGTCCACACGTGATATTTCCACGGGGATAACAACCTAGGTTAACACGCTTAGTCTCGTGTCGACGACGGTTCACAGGACGGAGTGGCGGTGGAGGACTCTGTGTGGTGTGGTGTCCCGCCCCCTTTCAGGAGGGAGAGGATGGAGACGACGTCTTAACTAACCCATGGCTCAGGGGGTACTACTTAAAATGAGGTTTTTGGGTGTGAAGCGATGAACAGTACAACACTGTTCCACTGCCCACCCCCCTAAAGGCTGGCTGACATACACTAATTGAAAAATACATGTCCCAGTTATGCCTCGCCTGGCGTCTTATCTCTGGTAAAACAAACTTTGGAGTTGGTTGCGTGGGTAAGCCTAACGCAACCCATGACATAGTGGATGTTGACACATGACGCCTACTTGCATACTTGTCTAGAAAATTTGTATGTCTGTTTCTCCCCAAAAAAATCTCAGTCACAAGTAAGGTTGGGTTCGTTATTACTAGGCTTAGGATAATTATGCATTTGCATATGTGCATATGCAAATGCATATTAAAGCCATTTTTGAGCTAAAGTGCATATTCATAATTTTTTGTTTTATAAGGCATATATTTGGAAAATTCCAAAATATTATAAAACATTCTTCAACCTCAAGGGTCAAAAAATTCGCGAGCATACAAGCAACGCTGGGGCAGAAATCACTGATGTTTGAAATATAAATGTCCATTTTATTGCACTAATACAAAATCGAAAACACGCGATTTTGTTTTAGCGTCATAATATCCAAAAGGAACATACGTAAGTGACGTTTATATAGCTCAACATTAGCCTGTGGTTAGCTGAGCCGTGATTGGCTGGTCAGTGGACATGAACTGTACGTGATGGGTCCGTGTTCAGCCAGGCAGGGTACACAGTAGAGGCACGGGCTCCACCAGTTCCCTCCTGACACTCTTTTCTTCTATTTTCTTGAAAGAAATACTTTTTCAGTATTGTTTATTAAATTACTTTGTCAGTATTTTGTTTTTTGTATTTAATTCTTCTCTAAAAAATCCTACTTCGACGACATCCTGTCTGGGAAAGTAAATATACTGAGAAAATGTACAAAAAAGGAGTTATTAACTTAGTAGTTATTATTTATTAACTTGTTTTAAAGCGCATATTTAAGTGCATACTTTCTCAATTTTTACTGCATATTTGCATGCATATTTAGCCATTTTTAAGTGCATAATTATCCTAAGCCTAGTTATTACCATTTTGGCCTTATTCAGAAAATACTTCAGAATAGACCAGAGAAATCAGTAAACCTGTAAGAGGGGGACCGCTGAGTGAGTCTGATGAGTTGGCGCCACGACGCCCTCTTGCTGCCCCCACCATATTTTTTTTTTTTACTTTTGAGGAGAAAACAAAAAAGAAGAGAATGTGTGAGTAAAAATGTGGAGTGAAAAGAGAGGAGAACTCGGTGCTGCAAATCCTCTTCTAAATGAACCTACAGTACTGTTCGATTATTTCTTGAGATAATTATCAAACATTAATGTGAACTTGTATACATAAAATATGTCATAAGATACGTTTCAAACTGCACTGAATACCTTTATGGGTCAAACAGCCAGTGTTGGTAATTACAACTGCCGCTCCACTTGCACACTATTGTAGTTACTGAAAAGTTGAGTGACTACTAACTTCCAGGCGAGTGGAAATTCACTAGTCTGCTGGGGCTCCTCACGGCTAGAGGAGCTAGTTGCCACAATGCGTGTAAAGGCTCTATTTGCCAAAACGTCTGTACTAGCAACCATAGTAACTCTCCACGTGAAAGCGCGCCGTTAAGCATCAATAGTCGAGTGGCAGCACGCCGAGCCCAAGACACGAAGGAGGCACTTAATATGATGCCGGTCAGACCAGTCCCTGACTCCGAGTTAATTTACTTTACCGTGAACATACACCTCGCAAGGGGGGGGCCCTTGCGAGGTGTAGCAGGTAAAGCAGATTGTATCCGGGTGCAGTAAGGTGTAGCAGGGCGAAATAGTGTGTAGCAGAAAGTGTAGCAGAAGGTGTAGCAGGGTGTAGTAGGGTGAAACAAGAGGTGAACCAGGGTGCAGCATTAGGTGTAGCAGGAGGTGTAACAATGCGCAGTGGGGTGTAACAGGAGGTGTAGCAGGGTGTAGTAGGGTGTAGCAGGTGTAACAATGCGCAGTAGGGTGTAGCAGGAGGTGTAGCAGGGTGTAGTAGGGTGTAGCAGGTGTAACAATGCGCAGTAGGGTGTAGCAGGTGTAACAATGCGCAGTAGGGTGTAGCAGGTGTAACAATGCAGTAGGGTGTAGCAGGTGTAACAATGCGCAGTAGTAGGTGTAACAATGCGCAGGTGTAACAATGCGCAGTAGGGTGTAGCAGGAGGTGTAACAATGCAGTAGGGTGTAGCAGGAGGTGCAAGCAGTAGGGTGTAGCAGGAGGTGTAACAATGCGCAGTAGGGTGTAGCAGTAGCAGGTGTAGCAGGGTGTAGTAAGGTGGCAGGAGGTGTAATGCACTTGTAACAGGAGGTGTAACAATGCGCAGTAGGGTGTAACAATGCAGTAGGGGTGTAGCAGTGTGTAGCAGGAGGTATAGCAGTGTAGCAGGAGTAACAATGCGTAGTGTAGCAGGAGGTGGGGTGTAGTAGGAGGTGTAGCAGCAGGAGGTGTAGTAGCAGGAGGTGTGTGTAGCAGTGTGTAGCAGGAGATGTAACAATGCAGTAGGGTGTGCAGGAGGGGTAGCAGGGTGTAGCAGGGTGTAGCAGGAGTGTAACAATGTGCAGTAGGTGTAGCAGGAGGTGTAGCAGGGTGTAGCAGGAGGTGTAGAAGAGGTAGCAGGTGTGCAGGAGGTGTAGGGGTGTAGTGTGTGTAGCAGGAGGTGTAACAGGGTAGTAGGAGGTGTGCAGGGGTGTAGCAGGAGGTGTAGCAGGTGTGGTGTAGGGGTGTAGCTGGAGGTGTAGCAGGTGTGTAGGGGTGTCGCAGGAGGTGTAGCAGGGTGGCAGGTGTAGCAGGAGTGTAGCAGGGGTGTAGCAGGGTGTCGCAGGAGGTGTCGCAGGAGGTGTAGCAGGAGGTGTAGCAGGAGGTGTAGCAGGTGTGCAGGTGTCGCAGGAGTGTAGCAGGAGGTGTAGCAGGGTGTAGCTGGAGGTGTGGGGTGGCAGGAGGTGTGTGGTGTGGGTGTAGCAGGTGTGTGTAGGTGTAGCAGGTGTGCAGGGGTGTGCAGGAGGTGTAGCAGGAGGTGTAGCAGGGGTGTAGCAGGTGTAGCAGGTGTAGCAGGGGTGTAGCAGGGTGGCAGGTGTGTAGGCATCTGGCGACACAGCAGTTGAGGAAATCATCATTAAGACCAATGTTGTGTGGGGGAGGGAGGGAGGGAGGAGCTAGAAAGGAGGGATGGAGGGGAGGAACTAGATGGGGAGGGGGGGAGGGAGGGAGCTAGAAAGGGAGGGATGGAGGGAGGAGCTAGAAAGGGAGGGAGGGAGGAGAGAGGGAGGGACGGTGGGACGGTGGACAGTAGGGAGGGAGGGAGGGAGCTACAAAGGGAGGGAGGGAGTGAGAGATAGTGAGCGACTGTTCATATAAAATTGATAGTCGGTTATACTAGAGAAACAATGAGGTCGATGTTCATCCTAGAGAAATAAAATTTGTTATATAATGCTCTCTCTCTCTCCCAAAGCCAAAGCGGACGAACCCAATATATTTCATAGCCACAGTAATTCTCTCTATCCTGGTGTTACTGTGGTATGAGGAACTCCAGAGACAACTATTTGGTGATTTAGAATATTATTGATATGGATATGTATTTTTTTAAGCTCCGAGGAGGAAAACCTAAATATATTTTGTGGGTTTGAAATGGAATTTGGGCCAGAGCTAATGCATCCCAGCCCCGGGGGAGAGACGTGTCGGGTGGGCCCAGTAACAGGTGTGTCCCACGTATTTCTTGCTCTGTTAGGGTGTGTTTGATAGATTGAGCATAATAAATGTTATATGAAGAATGTGATGATCTCGGGGAGGTAGTCTGTAAGCCAGAATAAGGCTAATTCTAGCTTTGCTCTACAGCCACTTAATTTAATCTGAATTTATAGATCACGTGCATGTACCGAGGGAGCGAGTAATTACCCAACAGCCACTTAATTTAATCTGAATTTATAGATCACGTGCATGTACCGAGGGAGCGAGTAATTACCCAACAGCCACTTAATTTAATCTGAATTAATAGATCGTGTGCATGTACCGAGGGAGCGAGTAATTACCCAACAGCCACTTAATTTAATCTGAATTTATTGATCACGTGCATGTACCGAGGAGCGAGTAATTAGCCATAATTTAATCTGAATTAATAGATCGCGTGCATGTACCAGAGTAATTACCCAACAGCCACTTAATTTAATCTGAATTAATAGATCGCGTGCATGTACCGAGGAGCGAGTAATTACCCAACAGCCACTTAATTTAATCTGAATTAATAACGTGTCTATTTAATCTTTATAGATCACGTGCATGTACCGAGGGAGCGAGTAATTACCCAACAGCCACTTAATTTTATCTGAATTAATAGATCGTGTGCATGTACCGAGGGAGCGAGTAATTACCCAACAGCCACTTAATTTTATCTGAATTAATAGATCGTGTGCATGTACCGAGGGAGCGAGTAATTACCCAAATGTAGTCGCAATGAAGTCAAATGATGGTCCTACAAGCGTAAATCGGGCTGTGAATCACTTCTCGATTATTATTTGGTATAAAGTCACAAAAAATTGGAAAACTTAATTTAATCTGAGTTGTGTTAGGTTAGTTTAGGTCAGGTTAGGTTAGGTTAGGTTAGGTACATGCACTCGATCTATTAACTCAGATTAAATTAAGTTTACCAATTTTTTGTGACTTCGTGACACCAAATACCAGTCGAGAAGTGATTGGCAGTCCGATTTATTCATGTAGGACCATTATTTGACTTCATTACGGCTACATTTGGCTACATTTGGATAATTAGTCGGACCCACTCCCCTGTGTTATGCTGGTGGGTTAGGTTTATAACTTCTTGTTTAATTCCTACTACTGTCTGGTACCAATATGACAACAGTTGATGCTTGTTTTGTAAGTATAACGTAATAATATATAATAACTAGTTATGTCTGATCTAGGTCCCAGCCTTTTCCTTCTCGGGTGATTTCTAGAGTAAATAAATGAGAGAAAACTATCAGTGTGAGTCCTATCCCTACTTTGTGCTTTGCTACATTACGGTGTTAAAAACCTCCACCTTCTGGTCTTGTGGTGTTAGAAACCTTCAGGTCTATGTTACAGGTGTATGGGGCAGGTAACTAATGACAGGTGTGTGGGGCAGGTAACTAATGACAGGTGTGTGGGGTAGGTAACTAATGACAGGTGTGTGGGGCAGGTAACTAATGACAGGTGTGTGGGGCAGGTAACTAATGACAGGTGTGTGGGACAGGTAACTAATGACAGGTTTGTGGGGCAGGTAACTAATCACAGGTGCATATTACAGGTGTGTGTGTGTGTGGCAAGTAACTAATCACGGGTGTGTCTTACAGGTGTGTGGGGCAGGATGGGGGTACACCTGGATCGTCTTATGACCAGCATCGGTACAGGGTCATGGAACATCTTTCACTTCGCAACACTTTCCTATTGTGAGTGTGTGTGTGTGTGTGTGTGTGTGTGTGTGTGTGTATGTGTGTGTGTGCACAGGATGGTGTGATGCGTCTAGTGTTAAGGTTGCAGGCACTGTTTGCTTCCTCTCACTTTCAGCTACCGCCGCTGGCTAGCATCGTGGTGAACAGGTAAGCAACTTGTATAAGTTCTCCCCTCGTGGCAACATACGGTAACTGGGTGCCTCGTGGGCCCAAGCTAGACCAGCAGGGGATCTCGGAGTAGCAGTTGGCCCCAGAGGGACGGCGCTTAGGCCCACTGGCATATTGGCAGGTCCTGGTATCTACCAATCACTGCCCCTCTGCCTTGCGGATTAACCTTGGTAGGTATAAGGCTACGGAAGTAAACCCCGAACGAAAAATCTGTGGTGGAGCCCCACTTCAGGTAGTCATGCTTACAGAGCTCCAACAAGACCCCAACGACAATATAGGCGGAAGAGGTAACCACCATGGGAACCCAACGACTACACCAGCAGACGAAGGCAATGCCTGATGGACAGGCTACTAAGGCAAAACCCAACAAACTGGGCTATCGGCAGTCCATTGCAACTCTCCCTCTACCCAGTCGTTGCAACACTTGAACCACTGGATCAGGAAAAGGGAGAGCCAAGCTGTGTGGCTGCAGCCTGCGCTCCTGCCTCATCACATAAATCAACTCATGCGCAGCCATCATACCCTCAGCATCATCATCAAAACCCCTATACCCCTAAAAGTCCTATGGCGACGGGGACAGGCAAGAGATGACTGCCGGGAGTCTCTGGTAACAGCTCTGCACATGGGCGGCACAGATAAGATGGTCATTTATGGACTGGGTTCTAGGCAGCAGTGCAATCCGGTCCTGTCTGTGCGACTAAGCAGCCCTTTCTAGGAGCCACTCTGCTCACCCCGCATGGGGAGGGGGCTAGAAAGGGTGCCCTAAACATAGCCTGCCTAAAGACCCAACCTGTCTGGGCTACCGCACCCAGTAAAGTCATCCTTATGCGGTCGAAAACACAATCATAATCACAGATAAAAAAAAAACTATGCAACCTCTTATGGTCATTGCATGGAATATCAAGACCCTTCTGGATACTGGCACAAATGAGCATCCTGAAAGAAGGAGCTGGCAAGGTATAACATCAACATAGCCGCCATTAGTGAGTCTCAGCACCCAGACATGGGTCGACTCACAGAACAGGGGTCTGGCTATTCCTTCTTCTGGAAGGGTAAGCCTGCTGGGGAGAGAAACCGCATTTATGTAGTTGGCTTTACCATCCGCCAACGCATCCTACATAGGCTAACTGAAATGCCTATTGGGATCAACGAGCGCCTCATGACGCTCTGAGTTCCACTGAATCACTCACGTCATGCGTTTTTCATCAGTGCATATACCCTAACACTGGATGCAGAGGATGACATCAAGTAGGCCTTTTACGCCGACCTCGACAGAGTGCTAACCTCTATCCCCAGAGAAGATAAGGTTGTGTTCCTTGGTGACTTCAATGTCAGAGTTGGCAGAGATGCTGACATTTGGCAGGGAACCATAGGGAGAAATGGACTAAGCAAGTGTTATCCCAACGACCTACTCCTCCTCAGCAAGTGTGCTGCACACAACCTCACTATCACCAATACCTTGTTTAGGCAGGCTGACAAGTTCAAGGGTTCGTGGCAACACCCACGATCCAAACACTGGCATCTCATTGACTACATCATTGTCAGAAAAAGAGATCGCCGAGATGTCCTTGTCACCCGAGCCATGCGTGGCTCAGACCACTGCGACACTGATCATCGGCTCATCAGGGCCAAGCTTTCACTTCACGTCGCCCCAAAACGGCGAAGGCAGCAATCCTCCAGAAGAGTTTTTAACAGTAAGCGTCTGGAGGATCCAGCAGTAGCACATGCATCCAGAGAGCAGCTCGAACATAGGCGGATAAGCAACCCGACAACAAACAACCCAAATCCCAGTGCCGAATGGGATATTGTCGACGCTGCCATGAGACCCTCGGCCAGATCGAAAGAATACACCAGGACTGGTTTGATGAAAATTAGCCGGAAATCAATTTACTCGTCAATGATAAATGTGCTGCTTTAACTGACTGGCAGAATGTCGAAAGTTTAGATGTTAACCCCCTCTGGTTCCTTTAAAGATTACTGTCAAGTGGAACTGTATTGATATTATTGATACCAATATAAATCCCCTGTGTTTCCAGAAGTCAGATATTATCCTCCTAACCTAATAATAAATCTTCTGTATTAAATAATAATCAACGAAAAAATATACTTAAATTATTTTTACAAGTTAACGCTAAACTCATTATTTTCATAAAATTCAAAGAAAACCAAAATGTTTCAGGACTAACTACGAAATTCGTATAATGACTGACGCATTATTCTCTTTATGAGTGATGTATACATATATATTTGGTTATGCATATTATAATATACATTACTTCCCCCAGGGTTCTGTATGACGTCATTCCACACACTTGGAGGACCTTTCTTGGCCCCCAAGGTGAACTCTACCTGTCTGCCTCTCCATCGTCACCTACAACAAAACATCACCCTTGTAGAGTTGGTCACCTGTGTTATTGTTCACCTGTCTCACCAATTATCAGTTTATAACCTATTTTGACTTTTATCGCAACCTGTTCCATCTTGTATAGCCCGTTAACTACATATTCCCAATTTTGTCGTCTATCTCCCTATTCAGCTTCTGTTACCTACTAACTACCAATCCTTCCTCATAGTATCTGTTTTCATTATCAATTCTAGTATTATTGTATATTCATTACCAATTCTTCTGGCTCCCATTCACATTCTGCTTTATACTCTAAGACTCCCTTATTCCACCCAGCTGTGAATAGGTACAGTTGAGGACATATCAACCCGGTACACACTCAGTATTTGGCCGATGGAATACCTGGCAACCCCATAGAGTAAGGTGAGGAATTCTATGAGCTCCTCCATGTGTTACGGTGATCAGGCCCGTGCGCAGACTTTTAGGAGAGCAGGTGCTCAACTGAAAAAAAAACACCCCCATCATTGATCTGTCCCCAAAAGTAAAAAGAATCTGACAATAATCCAACTGTTGTTTATTAATAATAATATGCACAACAGTATAACTAAACGCATTAATTAAAGTGAACTTGAAATAAAATATACACCTTGTTTGTCAACTAAAGCTGCTAACATCTAGCCGACCTAGGCTTGCATAACAATCAAAACATACGTTTTGTCATTTTATGAATTGGCTACGTACTCAGAGCTATGTAGGTCAAATATAAATGTGATGTTTTCATTATATAATTTCATCATTGCTAGCTACAATGGCTGGAGAAAAGATTGGCTAGCCAGCATTACATCAGATAACAAGCGAGCATAGGATTTGTCAGCACATTAATTTCAATCCTGTGTACCAAGTAGGTTAACAGATAAGAGTCATTAATTTATTGTACATGTTTATTTTTGGCTAACTTAACGTATGCATGCCGCTTCACCTTTTGCCAGGGCGCAACGTGTGCTACTGTACTGATGGAAACCAGCAGGATATTTTGCGCGGCTATTATCGAAAAAACATTTACTCCGGGCATTAAAACATATATTCAATTTTTCAATTTCAATTGTTTATTCCTTGATAGAGGAAGCGGGATCCTAGTGCTGTCACTAGGTACCCCTGTACAATGACACCAGAAGCATCTGGCAAGTGTGACAAGTATATACAGTATAAATATTATAAAGGGGCTTACTAAAGCCTAAGGAAGGAAGGATATTCCTTAAACACATAATCAATGTTATTTACAAAATATCTGGCCAGTATGGGGAGGATCATCGTGTCTCCGTCAGGGGGTCGTGGAGTGGTGGTCCAGCAGGCGTCACGGAAGCGTTGTGTGTGGGGACATCTTAGGAGGTAGTGGATAAGGGTGCTGCTGTCGGGTCTTCTGCATAATGCACAAGAGCGTTGCTCAGGGGATGCGGGGATACCAATCTCCCAAGCAAAGTCATACCCAATGATGATACGGGCAGCAATCACGTCCCCTTTCCGCGACCCTTTCTCATAGACGTACGAGAGGTCAGGAAGTTTACGGAGGACATCGCACCAGGTGGGCGGGGAGTCCAGGGGGATGGCTGCTTCCCGAGCTTCTCTCTGTTTGCGGCGAATTTGGGTCCTAAGCTGTAAAAGTGTTCGAGGAACAACGTAGTCAGGTGTGGCCTTGTTGCAGCCAGTCTTGGCAAGGCCATCTGCTGCCTCATTCCCCAAGATACCGACATGACTGGGTATCCATAGGAATGTCACAGGACGGCCTGCATCCTGAAGTGTGGATGTAAACCCTCGTATTCGGAGGATGAGGTCCTTATTTTCCCCTGATCCAAATGCGATCCCGTCGAGAGCAGACCTGGAATCACAGCAGACAAGCAAGGGGCAGAAACCATCTGCTTCTTCCTTAGCGAGAAGGGCAGCAAGGAGGGCTATTAGTTCAGCCTGAGTGGAGGATGCCCCGTCAGAAACTCTGAGAAAAAGTTTGATAGGCTCAGGGGCATCAGGACAGGAGATGTAGACACCAGCCCCGGCCCTACCTGTAGCGGGGTCAACAGAACCATCAGTGTAGAGGACGACCCTACCTGGGGACCAGTGGGCGATCCTGGAGAGGTGGTATTTGCAGAGAATAACAGGGTTCACCTGGGATTTCGGGAGCGGTCCACTGAGGGCCATCACTTCAGGTTGAAAATCCAGCCAGGGAGAAGGAGACGAACCAACAGCAGGGGTGACAACAATATCAGGCAGGAGGTCGTGTTCCTGAAGGGTTCGGATGAGTGACCCTCGCCACTGTCTTCTAGATGGAGGTCGGTCTCGGACAGCAGGAGTCAAGTTGGCTTGGACATAGTTGCCCCGAGGATCCCGTAGAATGGAAACGGCAGTTTTTAGGTAAAACTCCTGGACACGATCCTGTAAGGGGGAAAGACCAAGTTCAGTATATAGAGAAGTAGAGCGTGTCCACTGAGGAGCCCCAAGAATGATACGAGCAGCTTTCCTCTGGATAACTTCGAGACGGTTGACAGCAGTCCGACTAATGTTGACGAGGGCAGGGGCGGCGTAGTCGACACAGGAACGGACAAAGGACTTCTACATGGTGAGAAGTACAGGGATGGTGCCACCAAGGGAACCCCTGCACATGGTAGAGAGGGGAGCGAGACGCCGAAAGCATATGTCTCGAAGATAGCGAACTTCAGGGATCTGACAACGTGTGCGAGTTACATACACACCCAGGTATTTTGTCTCATTAACCCAGCCCAAGGGCGTTCCTGATAAGAGAAGGGGTGGAGGTACAACACGACCGTGCCACATGGCTTTTGTTTTCGCAGTTGAAAGAAGGAAACCAAGTGAATCACACTCTCTGGAGACCAGATCAAGGGCTTCCTGCATGCTGAGGTAGTCAGGGGCTTGGAGGAGGACATCGTCGGCATATCCTGAGTGGACAACTTCTGTCGGCCACGGGAGAGATGCAATGGAGTGCATGAGAGTGTTAAACAAGGTGGGACTCAGGACTCCACATTGAGGGGTGCCGAGGTTCATTTCTTGAACAGGAGATATAGAGCCTTCAACGCGAACCCGGGCCTGACGTCCAGTGAGGTAAGAGGCGATCCATTGTAGAAGTCTCCCTTTAACCCCTAACCGCGCAAGTTCAGCTAAAATGAGGGCAGGCTGAGCCGTATCAAAGGCTCCCTTGATATCAAGGAAGACGGAGACGCGGGCAGTCTGATTGCAATAAAAGGAAGCAATGGAGTGTGCTGTGCTGCGATGTTGAATGAAACCATTGAGGGAGTTGTGGAAGCCGCCTATGGTGTGAAGAAGGCGACGATGGAGTATCCTCTCCATCATCTTGCAAACACAGGAGGTAAGACTAATGGGTCGATATTTCCCAGGATCTCCCGGCTTAGGGATGGGGATAATAGTGGCATTTTTCCAGTTGGACGGGAGAACCCCATGTTCATAAGACATATTGTAGAGAGCAAGCAAGGGGCCGTTAGGAATATTAGTACAGGCGTTGAGGACGGAGTAGGTTATCTGATCATCCCCAGGAGAGGTGTCTTTTCTAGAGCGACGAGCACTGTCAAGCTCGAACTGTGTGATGGGATGATCAGTGGGGGCAGGGGAGGTAAGAGCAGCACGAACAACAGGCTCAGACGCATCGATGCGAGCCTGCACTGCCTCCTGCATTGGATCTGGAAGTGCCTCAGGGGAGGAAGCTCGTGCCCAGTCCTCCATTAAAGAGCAGGCAAGGGAGGCGGGGTCAGGGTGGGGAGGAGGCCTCCGTCGAGTACCCCGTATAGCATTAATCCGATTCCATACATAAGAGGGTGACGACTGGAACGATAGAGACCACGTGAAGGATAGCCAGTCCGCCTCACGTATCCGACGGCGCTCCTGAGTTGCAAAGGAGCACCAATTTTTGAAGTCTTCCCAGTCCTCTGGAGACCGAGACCTCCGTATGGCAGAGTGGAGATCACGGGTTACCTGCCGGAGATGTCTCATGGCAGGGATACGATACCAGTAGTTGGTGGCACCTCTGGGGTGACGGGGAGGGCGTGGAGGGGTAGCGCGATTGACAGTCATACACGGCATCAACAAAATCAGCGCTGTAAGAGTCAAGGGACTGGGGGACAACATAGGAATCCGCCCAGGTAGAAAGGTATTGGGTAAAGGCAGGAACAGCATCTTGTGTGAGACGAAGGCGAGGGGATCGATAAGGAGCTGATGTCGGGGCAGAGAAGGAGAGCCTGAGATGGGTAGTAACGGCAAGAGCTCGGTGCAGACGGTAGGATGAAAGGGGGTATGACCGTTCAATAGTAAGCCAACATCAAGGAAACTATGGGGGAGGCGAGTAGGATCGTCAAGACAAAGAAAGCGAACATAATCATCCCCATTAAGAAACTGTGAGAGATGTGATCCGTTAAGGGTATATGGAGTGGGATGATCCGGAATCAGAGTGGGATGGCGGGCATTAAAGTCGCCAAGAACAATAGTGGGAATCCCATCATGGAGGTCGTGAAGAACCTGGGGGTCCAGAGAATCACTCTTGAAATGAACATTGACTACACGAAGGGTCCGGTCACCAAGAGTAAGGGAGACAGAAAGTAATTCAGACGGGGGTCCATGTGAGTCAGGTGAAGGGAGACGAACAGATGGAATGGTGTTACGCACAAGGGTGAGGAGGCCACGAGCCTGCCCACGGTACCGAGGCAGGGTGTAAACAGTATAGCCAGAGAGGCGGAGTGGAGTAACATCGTCTGTGATGGTTTCCTGAAGTAGAGCAACATCTACTTGATGGGAGAGCACAAACTGGGCGAGGTCTGTCCGGCGAGGTCTAAGTCCCTGGATGTTCCATTGTAAGAAGAGGAGGGAACGGCCTCCGGTGTGAGATGAGTTGGTGGGGCTAGACAGGGCTCCAGAGGAGGTACCAAATTCTGTTGAGAAAAATGGAGAGGGAGGAGTGGGAGAGCGAGGGATGGATCCTCCATCTCGGGAGATGGAAGGAGGCGGGTCATCAGGGCTTGCAAAGTGCGCCCCTGTTGGGTCAGGGTGTCCAGAATGAGTTGTTGATGCCTCTGCAATGTCGCAATTGTTTTCACAAACAAGTCGAGTTGGGCAGAGGGAAGGTTGATTTGCTTGGAGTGGCGATCCAGACGGAGAGTGATTGTTTCCATAGAACCAATTTGGTGTACCTGTACAGGAGCTGGAGGTGGCGGCGAGGATTGCCGAGGGCCCGACTGGGCATGTGGTGGTGGTAGCGACGGAGAGGGACGGTGAGGGTTCAGTTGAGTAAGAGGTGGTGGTGCTGGTGAGAGACAGCGGGGGTCCGGGTGAGAGGGAGATGGTGGTGACTGTGTGGCAGGGCCGGCAACGACCTTGTTCCAAGAACGGTAGAGAGAGGGAGGGAGGGGAGAAAGGATGGGTGGTAGGGGTGATAGGGGGGATGGCAGAGGAGAGGAGATCAATGGGAAATCCTTGGTGGATGGAAGAGGCGGTGGTGGATAGGAGTGAGGTTTGGTTGCCAGGGGCTTCGTCAGAGACGAGGGCGGTGGTACAAGGTAAGTTTTCCCCGGGCGAGTGCCAGGACGCTGTGGGCAATTGGCATTCCAGGCGTGGTGACTGCCATGGCAATTGACACACCGTGGAATAACTGGGATTTTGTTCTGAATTTTCGATTTGCATTCCACTGTGTCGTGAGGACCTGCACAGAAACCGCAGGCGACCATCCTCGTGCACTCCCAGGTGCGGTGTTTCCACGATTGGCAACGACCACAGATTTTCGGGGTTCCGATAAATCGGTCGAGAGGACAGTTGTGAATTGGTCCTACATTCACCTTCGGGGGGAGGGGGCCCACCCACCAGCCGATGAGTTCGTTGGATGGACGTTTGGAGACCGGGTTGATGCGGCGTTCCATGTCCAGTAGTTGTGGGAGAAGAGGGCGAAGATCGTCGATAGGGATCTCCCAGGGTACGTGGCGAACCATTACCTTGGTACGACGAGTTTCTGGGGTGATGATGGTGAACTTCAGCATCACCTCCCCCTGGGGAGCAGGAAAGCCCACCTGAGTGAGCAGGCGTACCGTCTCGTCCATTTGTGTGGTGACTATCACGGCTGTGGGACCTCGGCGGAGGCGAAGTGTTGAGTCCTGAAGTGGAGAGCAGTGACGGAAGAACCAGGTCGTCCGTGTGCTCAGAGGCAAGTCCCGAGGGAAGGCGAGACGACGAAGGCGCGACGGGGCAGGGAGACAAAGGGAATCCCCTATGTCCATCGTCGGCGGAGGGTCGGTCATTGAGCCACATGTAGGCTCACTTGGGGACCCCGATGACAGGAGTCCACCCTCTACAGCCCCAGAAGGGGTGCAAGGGGGAGCCGTGGCCCCTGCTGGAGACCCTGACTTCTGAGGTTTCTGCTTCTTCTTTGACGTGTCTTCAAGAAGAAAGTCGTCAGCATCACTGTCACCTACTGCCGCCGTTTCCAACGAACGGGAGCGTTTAACGGCGGGCATAGGGCACGTTGCCAACACTGCAGTCAGGTGGAGTGGTAATGACGTCACTGCTACGTCACACTATCACATTGCGCAAACTTGAAAACTTTGCTCAGAGGGATCGGGTGGTAGGACCAGATGTTTTATCCCAAAAAATGACAAAGTCCAAAAGTAAAAAAAAAATAGATGCCACTGTGCTGATAACTGGGTCTTACTATATTTATATTTATATTTTTTAGATCAGTTCTTTGTCTTCTCGTTTCAATGGTGCTCACAATTTGTTGTGCAAATGTTTCGTTTTCGAGTCATAACCGATTTTATATACGAGCGCCACATCCTACTTTGCAGGGTTGTCAGGTACCACCAGTCAAATACTACGTGTGTACCAGGCTCATAGATATATCTCTAACTATGTACTGTACCTATCCACATCATTCATTATGCATAACCACCTTTAGCATTTACTGACTGTGTTAATATTACCAATTTTTAAAACTGATTCTTTTATAATGCATGTTTCCCTTATTATTATTATTAGTAGTAGTAGTAGTAGCAGTAGTAGAAGTAGTAGAATAATTTTATCATTATTATTATTATTATTATTATTATTATTATTATTATTATTATTATTATTATTATTATTATTATTATTATTATTATTATTATTATCACTATTTTTATCATTACTACTACTAATAATATTACTACTACCTTCCCCATTACCACAGGTCGTGCAGTTACCTGGTGGCAGATCACTTGGGCGAGGAAGAAGAATATCCTTGTACACAATGGAGCTTCGATGATGAAACTTTCTCCTCTACTGTCACTTCTGATGTACGTACCGTGTGTGTGTGTGTGTGTGTGTGATTGAGAGAAAGGGTGAGAGACATAATAACCAAGAGCAAAAGAGAGAAAATGAGAGAGAGAGAGAGAGAGAGAGAGAGAGAGAGAGAGAGAGAGAGAGAGAGAGAGAGAGAGAGAGAGAGAGAGAGAGAGAGAGAGAGAGACAGACATAATGAACAAGAGAAAAGAAAAAGCGAAGTGAGATAAGAGAAAAGAGACAAAGTGAGAGAAACAAATCAAAGTGAGAAAGAGAGAATAAAGAGAGTTGATTAATACTCTACACCTGTCCTGTAAATAACTATTGAGCACACTTGCACACCTGTCCCTATAGTTCTCGCTGGTGTGTGGGCGGGAGTACCTACGAGCCACGTATCAGAGCATCTATATGTTGGGAATCTTCGTGGCAGCCCCTCTGAACGGCGTCTTGGCTGACAGGTGTGTCCTATAACACCTGTTCTAGTAATTAATAACATAGACAGTAATAGTAACATATAACAGGTGTAATTAATGACATGTCCAGTGACAATCATATGAAGTGTGACTGTTATATCCCTAGTCTTGTGAGAGAAGCCAAGAAGAGAGAGAGAGAGAGAGAGAGAGAGAGACAGTGAGGAAGACAGGGTATTTGTATACTGATTCATTGCTCATACTTCTCACGTCCCTACTTACAGTCTGGCTGGATGTGTACGTGTGAGAGATATATATAGAGAGAGAGAAAAAGAGAAAGAGACAGACAGAGAGAGGTACTAATGACTACCGTCTCCTAATCAACACAGGTACGGTCGTCTGCCCATGATAAGAGTGAGTACAGTCTTATACACCATCTTGGCTGTGGGGTCGTGTTGGCTACCGAGCTTGTGGACCTTGTTGATGGCGCGGTTCCTGCTGGGACTGATGCATCCTACTTCCCTCCAGACGGGCTATATCCTCGGTAAATACTTCAACTTTACTTTATATTTAGTGAAACAAATGAATAATGTCTCATAAACGTTGAATAAATTATAGGACAACTTTTTCATATAGTCAATTAAAACGAATGAATAATGTCTCATAAACGATGACAATATCTTAGGCTAACTTTTCTATATAATCAATGAAATGAAAATAATAATGTCTCATAAACGATGACTATCCTCTTGTGGCACACCATTCATTGACTGTACATAATACCAAGAGCAGTAACAACCAGTAATGTTCCCTGTAAGAGATAAATCAGAGGAAAAAACATTACTGATTCAAAAAAGAGAAAAGAATAGACAAAAATATTTATATACCTAAATCTAAATCCTCTGATAATCTATTGGTTGACCGGTCAAGGCAGGTACAGTACCTCTCCTCTTCATCACTCTCGTTAGTGACAGGATTAATGGTAAATTTTTTTAGTTTAGATTTCCATTTGGGATAAATAATTTACGTGTTTATTGTCCAAAATATATCATATACCTTGCGAAGACGTAACCTGAAAAAGTATCAGGGTACTGTAAAAATGTTCATTAGTGACCAATGTGACAGAAATATAACTGAGTACAAATATGGTCATTCGTGGTGGAACAAGGGTGAGTCAACCCAACAAGGGTGAGTCAACCCAACAAGGGTGAGTCAACCCGAACAAAGGTTTGAGAAAATATCAGTTAAAGTTGCCTAACCACATTTTGACCATAACATAATAAAACGATAAAATAATAGAACGGTCGCATGAATTGGATTCTCTGGAACCAAAGAAAACGTGACTTGAGTAATTGGTGGGTTCGCCCTTGTTCCATGGAACGCCTTTATTTTTACTTCTTTACTTTCACTGGCTTAAAAGATCATCGTCTTTTTTGTATCATTTAATGTTTCTGGGTCTGTTCAAAGGTATTGAGGTAGTAAAACAAACAAAAGAATTTAGTTACTCACCCACTGCCAGCAACATGTGCATGTGCTCCACTTGTTTACTTGTTTAAGTTTCCAGAAGCTCACACCAGAGGGCACCAAATACAGGAAATGGCAAAACAAAAATGTGCCAAATCTGGCCAACTGGTCGGGTTTCTCAAATTTTTTTTACATATAGGAAGACAGCTATTGTAATGGTGTGTGACATAGACGTCCCACTGGTCCAAAAGATGATATAGTGAAAAATAAAACTCTACGTCGCGATAACCCATATTTCAGTAACTTTTGAGTAAGACCTTTTTACCTTTGACCTTCCGTAGTAAAGCCACTTATAGATGCAGTACACTAATAAACCCTTTGGTCAACACTCACATCTCTTGGTATTTATGAATTAAGATGAGGTCTTTTAAGAACTTACTGTACAAAATTTTTAGACAATTTTCCTTCACATCTTCTAAATATATGTTTTATCAAAATACTCTGTAGTAATAATAATAATAATAATAATAATAATAATAATAATAATAATAATAATAATAATAATAATAATAATAATAATAATAATAGTAATAATAATAATAATAATAACAATAATAATAATAATAATAATAATAATAATAATAATAATAATAATAATAATAGTAATAATAATAATAATAATAGTAATAATAATTATAATAACAATAATAATAATAATAATAATAATAATAATAATAATAATAATAATAATAACAACAATGACTATTATAATGATTATTATTGTTACCTCAAGCAGTATGAGTAGGATGACACATAAACAAGCATTATGTTAGGCGGTAAGTCATGCCATGTTTACTGAGTGTGCCTGCCCGTATACAGTGTGTAGAGTATTGACATGGTGGAGATGAGAGGCCCAGAGAAGGTTGGAGTGTGTAAGGGGAGTTTTGTTTATGTATAATTATAATCACCTGACTCAGCCGCCCACCGAGAGAGGGTTGGGGAGGCGACAGCAGGGTATCGGCACTGTAGCTATTCAGACCACAGAGGCAACACCTAACCTGGTTCCTCTGTAGTTATTCAGATCACAGAGGCAGCACCTAACCTGGTTTCTCTTGAAACTTTCAACACGTAAGTTTAACTGGTACTTACTGTATTGTTTACACAGGTAGACTGTGTCCATTGCATCGTTTATTATTGTGACGACATAAAAATATGGAAAATTAAGTACTCATTGTAAGTGTTAAGATTAGACTGATTACATAGCTATGATTGTTATGTAAATATATATTGGATTAGACATTTATATGATTGCCTATGTATGATTTATTTTAAATACTAAAATGAAGTGTATTCAACAGGTTTGACCGAATTATAATGTTCGAGTTCAACGTCACAAGTTTCATTAAATCCTTTAACCGGATGGTGGTTACAATTATTATTATTATGACAATTACTATTACCACTCTACTACAATTATATCTACTGCTACTACAGCGATGGAGATGGCAGAACCGAAGCTGAGAACTACCCTGGGAGTGGGACTGTTTGTGACGTGGTCGCTGGGTACTGTGATCTGGGGCGGCGCTGCCTATATTGTGAGGGACTGGCGGTGGCTGCAACTGTCTGTCTCCCTGCCCTGTATACTGTTCCTTCCCTCGCTGTGGTGAGTGTCTTATGCTGTTCTGCCGCCCTTTACTCATGGAGGTGTATTTAATTTTGTATGTATTTGTTTGGTTTTTAAATATATTATATGGATCATGTTAATGTCTGTGACCAAACAAGATATATTAAGATTCACGGAAATCCCTGGATACATTAACATCGTATATACTTAAATACTTTTGAGTAGTAGGTAGTAAGCAGCTACCAAACAGGGAGGTACTACCGCCTGGGAAGATATTGGAAGCATAATGTGTTGTCTAATGGTAGACCCTGCTGCCATATGGCATCACGAATATTGTGACCAAGTCCCAGGTTGTTGATCTGACTTTCTGCCTCATTTACTCACAATTGCAGGGTCTCAATTGTTTCTCTTACTTGGACAACACAACATACATAATGTATATCATTTCTCACTTGATTTATTTTTTCGTTTTTGTATTTATTTATGGTTATTATTATTATTATTATTATTATTATTATTATTATTATTATTATTATTATTACTATTATTATTATTAGTTTTATTATTATTATTATTATTTTATTTGTATTTATATTAATTTTATTAATTGTTGCAATAATAATAATATTAGATAAAATTATTATTATTTATTATTATTATTATTATTATTATTATTATTATTATTATTATTATTATTATTATTATTATTATTATCATTATTATTATTATTATTATTATTATTATTATTATATTTTCGTCCCCCAGGCCCTGCTGTGGGTCAGTGACCTGTGCCCGGGTGAGCTAATCCCCGTAAAAAAAAAAAAAAAAAAACACGCTTTCTGGACAAATGGGGTGAATTGAAGGATTATCGTACCTCAGTCATATTTTTAGAAGAAAACATATATTTCAAAGTAAACTCTTGAATAATCTCAAATTTTTTCCGAATATTTTCGTATTTTCTGAGGGTTGCAGCCCTTTTCAAGAACCTTCACCTCATGGACAAGTCCTCCTTCTACAAGTTATACTCCTACAAGTACTCCTTCTACAAGTCCTCCTCCTACAAGACCTCCTTATATAAATCCTTATTCTTTAAGTTGTCCCTCTACAAGTCATACTCCTACAAGCCCACATCTCACAAATCCACCTCCTACAAGCTCTAATCCTACAAGATATCCTACAATTCCTCCTCCAAATCCTCTTTCTCCAGGATCTTGAATGAGTCGCCCAGATGGCTAGCTGTTAGGGGACGCCACAACCGAGCTCTCAAGGTCCTGAAGAAGGCCGCTCACTGGAACCAGGTCACCCTCCCTCCTGACGAAGAGATCCTTGAAATATTGAAGGACGACCAGATTGAGGTAACTGTTAGTATACGAGGATAGTGTGTTATAAGTCTACCTGTAGGATGATTATAGTGTTATAAGTCTACCTGTGGGATGATTATAGTGTTATAAATCGACCTGTAGGATGATTATAGTGTTATAAATCGATCTGTAGGATGATTATAGTGTTATAAATCGATCTGTAGGATGATTATAGTGTTATAAATCGATCTGTAGGATGATTATAGTGTTATAAATCGACCTGTAGGATAACTTGTTATAGAGAAGGATGGTAAAAGTAATTAATGACAAGCTGTATGGTTTCACTGTTATCATACTGAAGGATTAATTGTAATGTTATGATTCTAGTATCCTCTGATATACCTCAACCAACCTACTACCGAGGATGATATTTCAGAGTAGTTATACACCAAAACATCTGGTGTATACATACATACGAATACACCTGCAAACATACCCCTGACCCACCTGTAATTAATACACCTGCATACCTATTAATAGCAAATCTACACACACACACACACACACACACACACACACACACACACACACACACCTGTTAGTAACGTATCTACACGCCTGTTATTAATACACACCTGTTATTACTACACCTGCCACACCCACAGGTAACCAGAGTCAAGACGTGACCAGTAGCAGTTTCAAGTTGATGCTTAAGTCTGCCATAAGAGAGTCTCCATCCTCTTCAGGTATGTCTCTCTCTCTCTCTCTCTCTCTCTCTCTCTCTCTCTCTCTCTCTCTCTCTCTCTCTCTCTCTCTCTCTCTCTCTCTCTCTCTCTCTGTCCTTTAAATACTTGATAGTGATATTTATGTTTTAAGCAGTTATTTTTTCGTCCCACTCACCCTCTTCCCTTGACCTTCTCACCCAGCATGTCCCTCTCATCCTCCCCTCTTACCCAAAACATCCCACTCACATTCTCCTCTCCCTCCAAAACACCACCTTTCACCCTCCCTTCTCCCCAAAACACCACTCTCACTCTCCCCTCTCTCACAGGACGCCCCTCTCACCCTCCCTTCTCCCCAAAACACCACTCTCCTCTCCCTCTTTCACAGGACGCCCCTCTCACCCTCCCTTCTCCCCAAAACACCACTCTCACCGTCCCTCTCCCACAGGACGCCCCTCTCACTCTCCCTTCTCCCCAAAACACCACTCTTACCCTCTATCTCTCTGGGACGCCCCTCTCACTCTCCTTCTCCCCAAAACACCACTCATACCCCTCTCTCTCTCACAGGACGCCCCTCTCTCTCCCTTCTCCCCAAAACACCACTCTTACCCCTCTCTCTCTCACAGGACGCTCCTCTCCTCTCCCTTCTCCCCAAAACACCACTCTTACCCCTCTCTCTCTCTGGGACGCCCCTCTCACTCTCCCTTCTCCCCAAAACCCCCACCCCTCTCTCTCTCACAGGACGCCCTCTCACTCTCCTTCTCCCCAAAACACCACTCTTACCCCCCTCTCACTCTCCCTTCTCCCCAAAAACACCTCTTACCCCCTCTCTCTCACAGGACGCCCCTCTCACTCTCCCTTCTCCCCAAAACACCACTCTCACCCTCCCCTCTCCCACAGGACGCCCCTCTCACTCTCCCTTCTCCCAAAAACACCACTCACCCTCCTCTCTCTCACAAAACGCCCCTCTCACCCTCCTCTCTGTCACAGGACGTTCCTCTCACCCTCCTCTTTCCCACAGGACGCCCAAGTTGCGGGTCATCAGTCTGGTCATGTACGTAGACTACCTGGTGGTGGGGATGGTGTACTTCGGCCTCTCCCTCAGCGGCGGTAACTTCAGCGCTGATCCTTTCCTGTACATGACACTCACGGGGTTGGTTGAGATCCCCAGCAACACAATCATTATTCCCTTCGTCGCTCGCTTCGGCAGGAGGTCCCTAACGGTGCTGTTCTACCTCCTGAGTGGGGTACTACTGTTAACTCTGCCCTTCATACCCGCCAGTGAGTAAGAGTGAACTTAACACTTTATTGAAATTAACCAATGTTGAAGCGTAGTACTTGTAGCAGTAACAGTAGTAGTAGTAGTAGTAGTAGTAGTAGTAGCTCTCGATGCTGCACACAAAAGGAACGAGAATGACAAGAACAGAGAATTATGTGGAGAGAATTCAGAATGTGGATCAAAGTAACTTCACTCCCCTGGTGTTCTTGTACAACCCCTGGTGGGATGGGACCAAGTGCAAGATGCTTCTATGCAAGACTGGCCGAGGTGTTATCCGAACAGAAGCAACAGCTCAGGAGTTATGTTACAGCCTGATTGAGATGTCGACTGTCATTCTCTCTGCTTAGGTCTGCATTGCTTTGCCTCGGGGGAACGAGAGCATGGGCCCCAAAGCCGACAACAGTCGAAGATATTGACTATGAGGCAACAGTCACTGAATGCCGCATAGATCTGCGGCTCAACTAACTCAACACAGCTAGGGTAGTTAATTATGTATTAGGATATTTAATTTTTAAGGTAATAAAATGGCGGCGAAGGTGTGGCTATTGGGGGAGGCTGGAGGCCACGGTTAAAAATAATGTAATAGTAGTAGTAGTAGTAGTAGTAGTAATAATGATAGTAGTAATAGTAGAAGCAATAGTAGTAATAGCAACAATAGTAGTAGTAATATCCTTCACTATACACTACAGGGATTGGATGGCTGATAGTCACACTGGCGCTGGTGGGCAAAATGACTATTACGAGTGTGTTTAACATCATCTTCCTCTACGCCTCTGACCTGTTCCCTACCGAGGTGAGGACAAGGGGTATGGGCACCTCTCTCATGATGTCTCGTGTCGGCTCCATGACATCTCCCTTCATCAACGATTATTTGGTAAGTCAAGCAGAGCCAGAGGTCAGGGGATGTACGGGTGGCGTGTGAGGCGATCAAATATGGCACTATAGTGTGTGTGTTTATGGTGTCTGTGAAGCTGTACACATTGGTGTCAGCACCATTTATCACATTATCCCTGCAGGGCTCTGTGTACCCGTGGGCTCCGTCGTTGTTGTTCGGGGTGGTGTCAGTGGTGGCGGGTGTGACAACACTGGCGCTGCCGGAGACCCTCGGCATCGCGCTGCCAGACACCATCGCTAAGCTGGAGGGCCGCGGCACTAATGAGGTGACCATTTTTTTTTTAGCTGTTATAACTTCTTTTGGCCAGATTGAAGTACAATTTTGCCAAATTTTAGTTCAGTCAGGTCATGACAGTGAGGGTGGTGTCACTGATCACTGCCATGCAGACCAGAGGTCCCTACACCAGAAGAGATAATAAAACCTAACCTAACCTATTGCAATCAAACCTAAGTTAACCTGATCTAACCTAACATTAATATAACACCCCTAGCAACCAATACCCCCTAGCAACACATGTCCTCCTCGCAACACATGTCCCCCTGGCAACCAATACCCCCCCTAGCAACCAATACCCCCTAGCAACACATGTCCCCCTGGCAACCAATACCCCCCCTAGCAACCCCCCTAGCAACACATGTCCCCTCCAATCCCCCTAGCAAGCAACACATGTCCCCCTAGCAACCAATACCCCCTAGCAACCAATAGCAGCACCCCCTAGCAACACATGTCCCCCCTAGACCACCCTAGCAACACATGTCCCCTAGCAACACCCCCCCTAGCAACACATGTCCCCTACATGTCCCCCTGCAACCAATACCCCCTAGCAACCAACAGCACATATCCCCCTAGCAACACATGTCCCCTAGCACCAATCCCAGCATGTCCCCCTAGCAACACATGTCCCCCTGGCAACCAATACCCCCTAGCAACACATGTCCCCCTAGCAACACATATCCCCCTAGCAACCTGTCAGCTGATCTTAGCCAACAGGTGAGTGTGAAGGTGAGGTAAATCATATCGTACAGTAAACAATATAATATTATTTCTTTCTTATCAACAGAATCAAGGTGACTCACGGCAGATTAAACTCAAAGTCGTCAGTCATCACAACAGCTGTAAGAAGTGGGTGCAGCCATCACAGTAGCTGACGTCATCACATTCACAAAATATTCACATGATAAATTGTACAGTTTAGTTAAAGACTTCGAAACACATCTATATAACTACAAAATCCTAAAATTGTTAACGTTGATAATTATTTGTTATTTTGTCTGTTATTTTTGTAATTCTTGTTATCTTAAGTCGGCCATTTAGAGTTACATCACAATCTACACAACTGATTGGTTCTGACGTCACTTACTGTCCTCCAATGCCACCAATCAAGCACTACCGCTACCACTGTACCTTTCCTCATCCACCAATGATTTTGTATTAAACTAGTAACGTCACATAGAGTAAGCCAATCAGGAAAAAGAAAGAAGAGTAAGGGCGGAGGACAACACTAAATTCGTGGGGGTTATAATAAAACACCAAAAAATTTATTTATTTTGTTTTCTTAAATCCAAAAATCTTTACACTTTTGTATCTATTATTTACTGATTACAAACAATGATACAAATAAAAGGAAAGCATCATGATAAAATTGGAATGAGAAATAATAAAAGGAATAACATGTGTGTCTGGGAGAGGGAAGGAAAGGGAGGGGAAGGAGAAAGAGGGAGGGAAGGAGAGACAGAAAAGGGGAAGGGGGACAAGGAGGGAGGGAATGAGTAGAGCAGAAGGAGAGACGGAGGGAAAGAGGAGAGGAAAATGAAGGGGAGAAAGAAGAGGAGAAGAAAGAAAAAAGAGGAAGGAAGGGAGAGAGAGAAGAGGAGAAGTAAGGAGACAGAGAGTAAGGAAGGAGAGAGAAAAAACTAAGGGAGAAAGGAGGAGAAGAGAGAGAAGAGGAGAAGGAAGGGAGGGGGTGGAGATATTAATTCTCAGAGTACAGTAGTTGATGAGTGAGAGATGTTTCGACATAGGTATTGCTGATCTCTCTTCTCTTTGGTTAGAGCTCAGGTTGTTAGGTTAGGTTAGGTTAGCTTAAATTAGGTTTAGGTTAGGTTAGGTCAGCATTAGGTTATTTAATCATCAGGTACAATAAGCTGGGGGTAAGCTTCAGGTAACCCATTATACCATTAGCGGCTGGTGACCACTACTAGTTCAAGAGGCAGCCATTTGGAAGCGCCACTGATGAATTGAAGTGACTCACCTATACCTTAGTGTGTACAAGACCGTCGTGGAGTGAGGAGTCGCTGATTGTCTACCCCTGCCATAACGGTGAGACACACACACACACACACACACGCACACACACACACACACACACACACACACACACACACACACACATACACACACATACAATTAACAGTAATAATGTGTCATCCACCTGGCCTGCCAAGTAATAATAGTAATAATAGTAATAATAATAATATTGTCATTAGTATTATCATATTATTTTTGTTTTTCTCAATTCGAGGAAGTTTTAGTAAAAACGTCAGTACTGTTACTGCACTTGTACCAGTACCTTATTCACCTGATGGCCACCCACTAGAGGTGGCCATGCAGAGGGAAGGAGCCAGTGGCCAGTGTAGGATCCCTCCATTGTTCTTGATAATCTTGTTTAGGGCTATTTTGATGCTCAGTACTGTTCTTGGTCCCACAGCTTGAACTGGTAGACTGTTCCATAGGTCTACCACCACCACAGCTTAAACTGGTAGACTGTTCCATAGGTCTACCAGCCTGTGTGTGCAGAAGTATTTCCTTATGTTCGTTCAGCAGGACATGTTGGGGAGCTTGTACCCCTCTTGTTGGTGGTGCGTGACATCACATATAATGTCTGGGTTCACGTTGTCCATCACTCTCAAGACTGTGAATGTCTCTCTGAGATCTGCCCTACTGTGTCTTGTCTGAAGAGTTGTTAGTCTTAAGTCTACCCGGATAATGGAGATAATAGTTCTGTCATCATCTTAGTCAGTCTGTGTTGCACCTTTACTAGGGATGTTAAGTCTTTCTGGAGGTAAGGTTTCCCTGCCCCTATACAGTAGTCCAGATGGGGACGTACGAGAGACTTATAAAGGTAATGGAACATTTTCTTAACTGTACCTGTTCCTGTACCTGTACCTTACATGTGCTTATACCTGTATTGGGACTTGTTAGGGAGATAGGAGGTGGGTACGGCTCCCCCTTCCCCCCTCTCCTTCCCTTCCTTCCCCCAGGAAGAGAGTCGTGCTGTGCTTTAATGATGTCCACCGTGAATATTACAGAGCTGGTGCATTGTGTCTTGTCGCTAGGCCCTCCCTCCCTCCCTCCCTCACTTACTCACTCCCTCCCTCAGTTACTCAGTCACTCAGTCACTCACTCCCTTCTAGCCTCCTTCCCTCCCTCCTCTTGATGATGATGATGATGATGATGATGATGTGTCACAGGTGGTGATAATGAGCAGCCAGCTGGAATCTCTACTCGGCCAGCTGGGTACTGGTAGATGGAACATGCTACACTTTGTTGCTCTGTCTTACTGTGAGTATAGAGCTCTCTCTCTCTCTCTCTCTCTCTCTCTCTCTCTCTCTCTCTCTCTCTTATTATCCTGTATTGTCATGTATTAAATAGTATAGAGAAAAAGTATATTGAATAGAACAACTGTCATTTTCGTTATCAATGTCAGCATTTATACCAACACCTGTCATTGTCACTGTCACTTGTCACTGTCACTTGTCACTGTCAACATGTGGTGTGTCATTGTCACTTGTCACTGTCCACAGGTGTGTCATTGCCCAGTTACCACACATTGGCCGGGGCTTTCTTGGCTCCTATGCAGGACTACCAGTGTCACCCCCCTGACTACCAAAACAACTACCGCGACAACCAAAGCAACATCGCCGATCTGCTTTTAGTGTAAGTAGATGCATAGGGAGACAGACAGACAGAAAGGAAGATAAAGAGATTAAAAAAGAGTAATTGAGAAACAGAATAAAAATGAGAAAACCAAAGATAGAGAGAGAGAAAGAAAGAGGTGGAACGAAAGAATCTATAAAAATAAAACAAAGAAGTATATGTGTGTTTGTGTGTCCGCACGAGAATCTCGGAACCTACTTTACCGATCTGTAGTGAAGATGGATGGTGTTATATGTAGTGATGATGGATGGTGTTATATGTAGTGATGATGGATGGTGTTATATGTAGTGATGGTGGATGGTGTTATATGTAGTGATGATGGATGTTGTTATATATAGTGATGATGGATGGTGTTATATGTAGTGATGATGATGGATGGTGTTATATATGTTATATAGTGATGATGGATGGTGTTATATGTAGTGATGATGGATGTTGTTATATATAGTGATGATGGATGGTGTTATATGTAGTGATGATGATGGATGGTGTTATATATAGTGATGATGGATGGTGTTATATGTAGTGATGATGATGGATGGTGTTATATGTAGTGATGGTGGATGGTGTTATATGTAGTGATGATGGATGTTGTTATATATAGTGATGATGGATGGTGTTATATGTAGTGATGATGATGGATGGTGTTATATATAGTGATGATGGATGGTGTTATATGTAGTGATGATGATGGATGGTGTTATATGTAGTGATGGTGGATGGTGTTATATGTAGTGATGATGGATGTTGTTATATATAGTGATGATGGATGGTGTTATATGTAGTGATGATGATGGATGGTGTTATATATAGTGATGATGGATGGTGTTATATGTAGTGATGGTGATGGATGGTGTTATATGTAGTGATAATGGATGGTGTTATATGTAGTGATGATGGATGATATTATATGTAGTGATGATGGGTGGTGTTATATGTAGTGATGATGATGGATGTTCTTATACGTAGTGATGATGGATGATATTATATGTAGTGATGATGGATGGTGTTATATGTAGTGATGATGGATGGTGTTATATGTAGTGATGATGGATGATATTATATGTAGTGATGATGGGTGGTGTTATATGTAGTGATGATGGATGAT